ATTTTTAGAAAAGAATATTCTTCATTCAATATATTAGTCTCTTAACTACGATCAGAATCTTTAAACGATTGAAAGAACAATGAACAAAGTTGTTTGTTTGTTTACAATCAGGCTATTTATTATTGTCATAATAACGAATAATAAATAAATAGACTCAAATCGATCTGTTATTGAATTTTAATTGATCTTAATCAGTTGAATCCAAGTGTACCCTCGCGTGATTTCAAAGACAAAAAATTCCTTTTTTTTCTTATCATTTCATTTCATTAAAATATGTGAAATAATACAAAATCAATTTAGATTTAATAAAATTTCATTCAATAATATAGAAGTACAAAACGTTTTCAATGACTATATAGATCAATAAGTAAATACTTATATGTGTGTACTTTTAATTCACTTGTTGACTTTAAATAAAGATACAAAGATAATATAATTAATTATATATAGAATAGATAGAATCCAGGGAATACATGGGATTTGATGTTTACTCTATGACGCCAAATCAATATCATTCGCTTCAAATGCCATCGCAATATTTATTTATTTACTGAGTTCAGTTAATCACTAACTTGTGTGGGTAATACAAACGATTGTGCATTGAATCATATCATTAATTAGAGTTTAAAAACAATCATTTTTAATGGTGGAGAAGATTTGTAGCTCAGGTGGATGATTTTGATGGAGTTTTGTTCTCTGAGCTGGATGGTTTGGTCGTGGAGCTTTCATCGTTCTTCTGAACGACATCATCAGCACAAACTTCAGATAGAAGTGAAGTGTTCGATAAATTTAAGGTCAACAAGAACCAATCAACATCGAGGTGCACAGAACAAGCTGTGAAACACATATGGAGAAAATCGAACACTTCACTTCTATCTGAAGTTTGTGCTGATGATGTCGTTCAGAAGAACGATGAAAGCTCCACGACCAAACCATCCAGCTCAGAGAACAAAACTCCATCAAAATCATTTTTAATGTTTGAGCTGTCTGTGAACTGACTATTTTAATGGCAAAAGTGTTCCCATAAAACAACACAAATATGTATTGAATATGATTACTCTATAAATTCAATACCTTATACCTTATCAAGAAATAACAATAACATAAGACAATATCTGATCTGTTAACTAAATAAAACTTTTGTATCCATTTACCAATTAACATGAAAATATAGTTAGAAAATGATAAACTGATAAATAGGAGTCTGTCCTCAGATGGAATCCACTATCCAATAGAATTATTGAAACCATACAACTGATACATACTTGCTGATACGATGGTTTAACTTTATGATGGCGTGTTCTACGAACTTGGTAGTTTAATTATTAAGTTTTCACTGCCTTCCTAGACAAAATCAGTACAAATCTCAAATAGAAGTATACTATTAGAATTTCTCCACAAATTTCGTCAGCAATACATTTGAATGATTCTATCCAGAAATCAATCGGTTATTGTTTGAATTTCTATTTTAATCGCTTTTCTCTCTATATAATTGTAATTTTGTTAGCATTTGAATCTCTTGACTTATACAGAAAACATCTATAAAACAAAACATCGATTGATGATTTAAGCTTCACTTCGTCCATTTTGTAATTCTACTTGGATTATCATGCAGAAATCATGATTAGGAATACTCACTAAATTATTCTAATCTCTAGTCTGCCACTAACATTACTAAATTTTAATGATTACTCTTTATATTCTTTTGTTTATATTTGTATACTGATTAGAATAATTAATATTGCAACTACTTACATTATCACCTTTTATTTTCAAAAGTAGTATTGAAGATTTCCTAATTATTTGTCTATCTGATAATGATAAGTGGTTAAATTTTGTTGTGGTTTATAGTACTATAATAATATATATTCTGAAAATAATAATTACAGAATTCATGCTGGTTTACAGGCATGACCGGCTTTACATAGATAGTGTTTAATTTAAGTATTGTTTAGGTAGTACATTTTCCACATATATAACAGCAATGAAAGGTGTCAGCCGGCAACATTTATTTATTTTTAAGTGGACATCTTGGTGATGTATGTGCTGAGCTATAACAAATTGATCATGATCATCTACAACTAGAGAAAATAGTTTTGATCTCTCATCATAGTTTAAAACCACATAGTTGTAAGAGGTATACGATCGCTTTTAACTACTGATAATATTTCGAACTAGCAGGTGAGCACTTTCTTATCTCCAAATGCTCAACTAAACTGTCTTGAATCTATTGTGAACCTATAAATAATCCGAGCAAGAAAGTCAATGTTCACAGTATTCAAATCTGTGCTCTACAAATCTTTAGGTGGTCGAAATAACATTTTAGTACATGTGAATTATCACAGTTCGATTGTAATAAAACAGTTATCTCATTAATAATACAATAGTTCACAAGTGATTAGAATACACTAAGTCAACTTATTTAACCCAATAGCAAACGATATAACAGGTGAAACTAAATACAAGACACAATAGTTCAGTTATCAAGTGAGATTTTTATGAATGTAAAATGAGAAGGAAATATATCACAATCAATGAGAATGTATCCATATATTTTTTTTCACGGCATATATGTATATATAGACATTTTTTCATTACTGATCCCAATAGAGGTAAAAACAAAAGAGATGAATCAGTAAGGAAACAGCGAAAAAATTGTACTGAGACACTAGTACAACTTGAAGAAATCGTCTTAGTGGACAAATCAATTATTGATTGATAAGTAGAAGTAATAGGAAGAAAAAAGAAAACATTGGATAATAAGTGTCAGACGTGATTACGTAATCATTTATATATGGGGTCATCTATTGAATACTGCCGACCGCTTTTTATAAGTAGAAGAACATTAAAGGCTAACCTCCCAAGACTAAAGTGAGTTTCTAAAAAAAATGAAAGTGGATTTACAAGTCAAATGACGATAATGAGACAACAAACTGTCCATTTAGAAGTATGCACTTGTGTATATGCGATGACATGTCAGTGGCTACAAGTCTTTATACACTATAAAAGTAATTTATAAAACTAAAATGGGCATCAACAATTCAAAAATACAAGTAAACTGTAATTGTGATTAAATGAGAATTTTGTTTGACACATTAACAATCGAATAGTTATTAATTGTCTGTAGACAAACATCTAATTGTAGAATAAAATCATAAATTGGATATTTTCTGGTTTCAGCTGGATTATCATTGTTCTTATTATTGAAGTTGCGGTTCTTATGGAATTGCTTGGAATAATAGTACTGCATTTAAGTACAGATGAAAATAAATAAAACAGTTTTCTGTATGTGAAACGTAACTAAAACACAAAAGAAAAGAGAGAGAAACAAAAAGAAATCAAATAATATGATGATGATAAAGTCAAACAATTGAAAATTTGAGATAAAGAATGTATTTGTAAAATCTCAGTGAATTAATTTCCTTGATATTTCCTTGAAAAAGCTTGGACCAGATTGCCAGGTGAAACGTTGGATTTACTTCAAAATTCATTCATCGGGATTTTACAAATACATTCTTCCTCTTTAATGTTTCACATTAACTCGGCGCCCAAATACTGTGAAACTATTCGATCAAATTTAGACGAAAGTTCTTATTTATTATTCTGCAATTAAAAATGTGTTTTAAAAGTGGTCTAAGTTGTACCTGAAAATCTATATTGGTGCCGTTTCCTAATTTTTTGTGTCACCTTTAATTAGCAGTAAAGAGTGGAGGAAATAGTAGCGTCTGGTACTATGTCAAGCTCATACGGGTTATTCAAGCTTCGTAGAGACCAATTAGTTTATTCTTCTAGAGTCACATTTTGACCATGACAATTATTCGCTTACAGCCTTGACTGTATTAATATGAGCGTATGTGCACCGCTTACCATATTCATCACATGTCTTAAGCTTATCTTTGTCTAGCTATAAGTATTGAGTCACACTTGGTCAAAACGAGTTGGCATGTTTGTCTTATCCGGTCAGCTTCTCTGCTTCGTTTCCCTGATCGTCTGTCTGGGTCAACGAGTGTATGAAATAGACATATCCGAAATTCGTTCTCGCATTTGGATTATTTCATTACGTTATTCTTTAATACGAATTAAGTCAGTAATTATATACGAGGGTTGGTAGCATGTGTGTTTCGTTAACATCAACGTTCGATCTATCTGGAGTCACATCAACTGGCCACTAAAAAACAGTCCGCTTATGACAGGAAGTATTTACAGCCGGAATAACTTAATAACAAAGAATTAAATTACATCACTAAATGGACTGATATTAGGTAACAATATTCAGTAATAATAAATTTATTAAATTCCGATGTGAATATGTGGTGTCTAATATCGATCGAATACTCTGAATCAATAGCACAAAGAAATTACAAGAGAATGGTATTGTCGTAATTATAGAGCATTTTCTTCTAAAAGAACTACAGTTGATTTGCTCACTACGAGTCAGGAGTATCTTTAATTTTGATGTTAACAAATTTTTTCTTACATGTTAATAAGAGACAATCATATGTATAGTTATCAAAGCAGATTCACATTGTAAAGAACGTAGATATAAAATATAGATTAAATCGATTATGATAACGGTTATAATACTTCGGTATGCAGGAATTTCATTGAAAAGCTAAAATGGAAACTGGCATCAGTATTTAGTGTTCTAATAAAAGTATCAAAATCCAAATGTAAGGAAGCATCAAAAATCCCCAGAATTATAATTTAATTTGGAGAGACTAGAAGCCCGATAGTTATGAAATACACAGAAACCTATTGCCTAAAACATTCAATGCGTTTTATTCGCTAAGCTGGTTAGTTTACTAGTAAAGCTTTCATCGTCTTTATCGACAATATTATCAGTATACACCCAAATTTATTTCACTGTATTATACTCTTTAAGTAACATCTCCAAACACTAATCTTCCCGATTACTGCTTATACTCTTATTACCTCTACCACTACGGGATTTGAATCGACCACTACATCTCTGTGCTAATGTGGTGTGGCAACTCGAACTGATGTACGTACGTACGAAGTTCTACATTGTTACTAACTGACTGACTGTGTGATGATATTGTTGTCGTGAAAGACAATGAAAGCTTTACTAGCAAACCATGTAGCTCAGATAACATATTCAAATCCTTATCCTGAGCTAGAAATATTGCCGTTATCTCATTTTGAGTATTCCATTACTTAATTACGGATCTATTTAATTTGAAGTTCATTATAAATTGAAAATTATTCAAGAAGCAACAATGTGTTTTCATGAGTTTAAAAATAATTCCATTAGAAATACAGACCACTTCAATCATATTAATCTCCTTAATTTGCCAGCTGATGCATACCAAATAGGACGAAACATGCGTCCTAGATTCCATTGCTAGCCACCATCCATCTCTGCCTAATTCAGTGGTTCATGATTGATTTAAATATAGTTAAATATAGTAAATAATATACAGTTTACTAGATTACACAAAGAACAACCAGTCAGTTTTAAATTTTATCACAGTGGTTTTTATTCAGGCTATTTTAAGTATGAATATTAATATCTCCAATTATTGTCGTTCTGGATTTTTTGAAATCAAATTAAATTGTTACTGAGATGTTCGGACAGGTAAAATGTTTCATAGGATCTAAGTGAAATGAAAATTATGTGTAGTAGCTAAAGGCTCGTTTCATTTATCCTATTTATTTTGCATCGCTTTACAGGAAACTGTTAATTTTTATAAATCAATAATTTCTTTCGAAGTTATATAGCAGAAATGAATAGTTCAGTTTAGAAATTTCTTTAAGGTACTCCCATTCTCTAAGTCGTCCGCTTTCACTTTTTTTGTAGTGCTGAAGCTCCTCTCACAAACGCACACACAAAAGTCTGTACAGTTAAGTACCTCTGTAGATTTTTTTCCCTTTTCAAATTACCAGCTATTTTTTACTCTACAAAAAGGAACTCACACCTCAAACCAATCTAATCCTGATTATTTTTGGATTTTCTGAGTATTCTTTTTTTAAACCTATCTTATCAACTTTTGTTACTATTAATCTTTATCTCGTTACTAGAACTTCTATGGTTAATATATCCAATCTCTATAGCAACCCCATTTTAAGCGTTTTTAATGAGAATTATAATATTTGATTTTTTGCCCGGTTTTATGCTTCCTTGTTATTAAATGTGATGAATAAATAAACGTACTGTAGACCATCACTGTGAACGAGTTGAGTACGTTTTACTGATTGTGACCTTTTGAAAATGAAATCACCGATGAAATGATCTTTTCACTTTCTAGTTTTATGACAAAATGAATACTTTCCATTTATAAACCTATTTAATGTTGCCTTTTTCTCTTCACATTTAAGAAGTTAGGTACTCAAAAGTGTTGAATAAGAATAAATGTGTATATAAATATAGAATTACCAGACAATGTTGTTATGTCTATGAAGCCCAATGCACTGTACCAAAGAAATAAATAATTTTTTTCCGAAAATCGGATACTTCGATAATAATACATATGAGGATTGATACCTTGATATGGTTAAACTCGCCGTCTGAAAAACCCTATTTATTCTTAGAAGACCACGTTTTTACAGGCGAAAAATCATCGTTTTTCTATCCCCTATTGATTTCTTAACACTTTTTTGACATATTTGTTGTAGAGAATTGTTTAAATTATTTTTCCTTTTTTACTTGTTGACTGACTGTCTAATCATTGTTAAATTTTTCATTGTGAACTATGCATTTATACAAAACCATCTGTAAGAGAAGTGATGTGGCTATGAGACTCGATAATATAAACATTTACTCCAAACCACTCTCATTTAAATTAACACATATATTAATCTTTGCATTAATCGGCACCTTGATATTGTTAAGACTTCATTGTCGGTCGAACACTATGGAATGCAAGCTTCCAATCTGTCAGTTTTTGAAAATGGCTTATCCATAGGATAAAATATAGTTCGTTCTAGGTATTTAAAAAACATGAGGAACTAAACGATATTATATGTAATAATCAGCCAGTATTGGAAAATTTCGTTTCCAATATCTGAACTGTAACATATTTAACATAAGATTAAAATCGTAAAAAAAAAACAAATTTATTTAAAGTTTCAGATGAGATTTGCAAGATATTTGAAGGTTATTCAGACAAGTGAAGAGGGGATTATTTCGATACATTGGCTACAATTGTCCAGACTATTTTCAGTATGTTTGTTGAGGATATTGTTCACCAATTTTGGACATCCACATCAAGCAAATGGAGAATATTCACTATTCAACAATGAAATTCACTGCCTAAAGAAATTATTGTTTATTCTAAAATCATTTGTATTCAATCACCAGTCACAAACATATACTTTGCTTATAAGTATCGTTACCAAGGTTTGACTTAATTTGGAATAAATCGAGCATTGGGCAGACTGTTAATAGTAATGAAATTATGATACATGTGTCATGACCAGATGAGTAGAAATTAGAATTTCTAGAAAGCGACGTATGCTCGTTATAAATAAATGAAAATATAGGATTAACTATGATACTCCGCTAGAAACGCACGATCTTGCATACATTAAAAATTCATTTATTTAACTTCATAACAGAATAATAACTGATCAGTACAGCATGCCTACCTTTAAATCTAGCCTCTTGGAGTGCACTTAGATAAATATAAAGATATGCAGGTAATGTAAACCTTTACACAAGTCACTGTATATACAGATACACACAAACATACATAGATGCGCGAAACAGATATCCTCACTTATATAGTATTACAATTCATATTTGATAAAATCAATTGAACCGATATAAATAAATACATCCATATCCGGTCACAATAATTACTTTTACGATTGCAAAGAATAAATTATAATAAAAATATTGAGATAGCTGGATTCAGTGAATAATTCACTCTAATGGAATTATGAAAATGAATAAAACTGAGAATTCTTAGGAATACACAATCGGCCAACAGAGAACCGTAACCTCATGAGTCAATAATTATTGATTATAATTATACCAATGTGATTAAGTAGAAGTTTAAAAAAACTGTGCTAAATTATGAATTACCTAAAGTTATAAATATGGATCGATAGACTGATGTACTCGCATAAAATACTGAAAACTTTAAGTTCAGTCTCCAGTGATGTTATAGATTTGCATTGCTAAGAAGTCCTTATCTTAAACAAAACGACTGTACAGTGTCTCTCGTTAATCCATGTCTCATTGAATAATGTCAGTTCGGGATGAAAATTCCAAGAATATTATCATCATATTTGGTTTAGATGGGAGGGCAAAGATTTGTGGCTCAGGAAGAAAAATAATGAAGCCTCTACAATTAAGGTATTCAGACCATAGGAAGCAAATTTACCAAAACCAGCTGACTATTGACAATTGTTTATACTTATTAAGGAATTGCTTTTTGTTTTTCATTTCTAATTTGTTGATTATTTCGTTCAGATTCCTATGTGGAGTTCTCTTCTACCACCTATGGAATCATTGTTACTTCGTAGAGGATATAGTCTCATTGCATTAATGTTAAGTGTACCAACGTGGATGATATTTTTCTATACGTTATTATTTCTATTTTGATCAATTCAGGCCAATTTTTTCGTAGTTTACTGGAAAGTACCCAATGCTTTGTACATTTGGTGAGAAACATTATTATAGCATAATAATAATGAGTAAACCACAAGCCATCAAATCACTTTGGATAATTGATTTTTAGAAAATAACCAAAGCAGGAGTTTGAATTTACGTGTTGTTGGAATTGACCAGTCTCTTTTCGGATGTGTATATCCTACTTGGATTGACCCAATATTGTCATAATTAAGCCTTAAATATGACGAAACACGAGTTCTAGATTGCACCGTAAGTCACTATTCAATGTTACTGATTGGTATCTAATTTTTAGGAAGGCAGGAGTTTCTAATGTGAAAACTTACTGTACTATAGCAATAGGGATTTAGTGACTGATAGATACACTGAAAAACTCATCAAAGTAATTCAATTAGAAGTAAATTACTTGATACTAAGTAATTAACTTGTATGAACTAGTCCTATAAATAGGCTAATAGGATGTAAAAAGTTCCGTTCCATAATCTTAGACTGAGATCCAGGAATGGACGAGAACCAAGGTTTTAAACAAATGTAATTCCTTTCATGCTATAAAAAAATATCACTTAAAATTGATTATCAAAATCCGATTGCTTTTTTATTATAAGTACCGTTCTCGTTAGGTATCATGTTCAAAAATCCATCTTACTTCTCTTTGTAAAGTTGTAATACCTTATCTTGTATTACATTATATTTAGTTTTTCTATTTAACCTATATACTTATAATATCGAAAACTAATTACCAGTTTTTGAGATCTTTAAAATCTAATGTACTCACTACTTAACATATAATTTTTAAATCTGAATCCCTGAAATAATAAATGATAAGAACTAGTAGAGATGCTTCAACCAAAGTGAAGTACACATCTTACTACTTAAGGATTTTTACTAATTGCTTACATAACATTAATGGAAACAATTCGTCACATACACAAACACAATTTAATTATATAAACAATACAACCATTCACATTGATAAATATGTATTAACCCAACTAAAGTAAACATAATCATATATCTAATCTTACCAACCAAAACGTTTACCAACTACACATTGCCATGTTCCACCATAACGTTTATCAAATTCTTGTTTAATATATTTAGCTATATCTCTATCATCTGTAAAACGTTCACATGCTGCTGCACAACAATCAACAGCTATAGATTGCATAGATTCTGGCATATCAGTTGATTTGATTTTTGCACTATCCTGATGATTACTCATGATTTAATTCCAATTGAACACTTCGACTTCTTCACTGAAGTTATTTAAAATTGTTATCTTTTTTTTTCTTCTTTTGATTTAATAAGGTAAACGGGCACGTGGATCTAATGATGAATGGATGAATAAGTAAATAGATAGATAGATTGATAGATTGATGGATAAACAGACAGACACAACTAACAAATTAGAATGTATGTGTATGAGTTTATCCATTGTGTTCGGTAATGATGATAGTAATGCATAAATTAATAATAGATCATTATCAAATAGGTTGAGTAACTACTACTTCTTAAGTTTAATACATCAAATGTCTATTCCTTCAGAACATCTTGAACCAATAAGATTTGAGTCAATATCTTATTATCTTCTAAGGATTAGTGATTAGTTTTGTAAAGTAGTGAGTGAGAGAGAGAGAGAGCAACAAAATTTTATTGAATGATAAACAATGAATGACCCAACAACAAAAAATAATGGTGTTAACGTTTTTAAATTGGCTGATGTTTACAATTAGACACATATATTAATTTAAAAGGAATAAATCATTTATCATAGAGATAATAATTTTCAATTGGATAGTAGTACAAGGCAAAATGTTGACCACTTAATTATGCTGTAAAAGTGATAAATAAAAATAAGTGAAAATTAATCACCTTCAAACTAATTGCTTCTAACTGGTTATATATATATATACATGATTAGCATTTAAAAATTCGGAATTAATGTGAGGAGGTTTTGTGGAGATTTCTAGATTTTCACGGTTTATACTGTTGAATCATCTCAATGTAAAATTCTATTGCATATTTGGTTGTAAGCAGCTGACGAGAAACCTCGAAATATTATGAATTCATACTGTTCTGCATCAATATTTGTTATTGCTTTATTTGAATTATGTTAGCTAGAATATCATTGACAACTAAGAATTATTTTGGTCCATTACATAAAATGTTAAGCCATATCGATGATTGAAGTAACGAATATGAAGAATCAGTTAGGTAGAATAGATCCTATTGACTTTGACTGTATGTAGTCAATGTATACGTCCAACTTTTCAAGAATGGATTTCCGACTAGAAGATTCACTTGTTTACATGGAATATACAGATGACATAGTCATGTTTGGTGAATACGTTGACAAAGTGTAGTTTCATGAGAACAACCTTACCATGTTTATGATGTGATTCGCTGTTTAAATGCAGTTTTACTTCAGGACTTGAACTAATAATAAGAACTGGGTTAGGGAAGCATATTGACGAATTCATTTATCTCTGAAGTCTCATCAGCCCTGGTGGTTTGATGAAATCCCCGTACAGATTCAAAAAACTCAGTTGGATTTAGCTAACTTGAGTCACCTATGGAGAGGATGAGACATCCACCTGAAAGCAAACGATGGATTAATTGCATAACAGTCTGCTCTGAACAGCTTCAATGTTGTGAACCGTGGCCTTTGAAAATAAAGAATATTTGTAGGTTACTGGTATCCTACTATAGATGCTTTTGAAGCACTGCTAGCGCAGACTGATGCCTTTGATCGACCAATTTTGAGGTTAGAAACAGAACACTACGCAGAGATAGCGAGTCGGCTGATGAGGTCATGAATCTTCATCAAGTGAGATGGTTGAGACATGTATTACTTGTGTCCAACCACCAACTACCTTGATGAATGATGTTATCTGGTGTATTTGGTTGTAAGAAATCTAGAGGCATCCAAAACAAAACTTTGCACTAGCCCATGCAGTTTTTAACTGATGAACTGGGCTGTGTATTTAGGTCCAGACCATTTGATCGGCTTCCACGAGATTACTGTAAAGAATTTTCGGAGATGATGATTGGTATGACTCGAGATCAATCCAAATGACTTAAGTTTACCTACTCTTTGTCTTCTCTTTGGTCTTAAGTTTTAAATCTTATATTTTGTCTGCGGGACTTATCTTGATAACTTCATCTCACCGCGCTAATGTGGTGTAGCAACTTGAGCCAATGCACATATCTCCCAGGTCCCAAGATGAGTATAACTGACTGTATGTTGCAAACTATGTCGGAAACTGAAATAAATTGGATAAATCACTCGAATCAGGTTAATATCCTGTTTATTAAATAAGCAAACATAGAGGTTCTAACTGACTTTTCTCATTCTTTAAACCATGAAAGATAGTTTTCTAAAGATTTATTAACTTGATGTAGAATAGTACATAACGAATAGGATATTTAGAAAGCTTTTACGGATACAAATTGCAAACAACTTGATTAACGTTTACAGGAATTTTATAATCAAAGTACATAAATATCACTAGTCAGAAAAACTTAAAAGCTTCCTTGTCCACAATTCTAATTTCTAATGGTTATTGTACGGAAAGTTAGATGTCGATTAAATTGAAACAGCACTAGCCTAAAAACAACTTCATGAATTGTTATGTTCAATAAATCATAGATATGCAATGTATAGTAATAAAATTAATTGGTTTAAATTACAGAAGCTTAATTATTAAATTATTGGCTAAATTCTGAAATATTTCGATTTTAAAGGGTCAAGAGTTACAGGGTAATAGATTGATGCACAAACATGTATATGAATATTTGAGCCGTCAATTATAGAATATGATAACACAGAGAAAAAGTAGAAATATAGGGTAGGAATTACACAGAGCTATCGACTAAATTTACAAACGACCAATATGTTATATGCTAATTACAAATAGCTGGTACGAGGCTTACCTGAACAGTTTCAGAGTAATACTTTGTCACATCGATTATGAAATTCACCTATTTTTCAAAAAACGTGTTAAATACATGCACAAATAAAAGATACGGAGTGACGCTGTATATCATGTGTGTGCATGGGGGGGGGTATAAACGGGCCTGATTTTTGGATCTCAAAGATATTCTTTGGTGAATGATTTGTGGAATTAAAGTTCGACGACCGTTTACTTTTTATACAAAATCTGTTTACTGTGAGGAGAACTTTCACGTCGACTAATCCAGTTTTGTGAAAAGTCTTCACTCAGCCATACCATTTACTTCAAGTCACGCGATGGACTATAAAATATACACAATATTTCTTATTGTGATAATACACTGAAAAGTTTTCCGACTCCTTTATGGGATAAAAACTTTCTTAAATGTGAAACATCAAAGAAATTGAAAACATTAAGTAAATGTTCACTAAGTAAGGAAAAGCGATTTTTTGAAATAGTTTTATGAGAAAGAACATTTCAGTGAAAAACAAAAATATGTAAAAAAGCTTACAATTATAAATGATGTTGTTGTGGATGCGGTGGAATAGACCAATAATTATCATGTTAAGTCCAATGGTGTCCTTGGACCTTAAATGGACATTTCCTATTGGTCGATATCTGTTCACTTGTTGAATATTGTACAAAATGTTGTTTTCTATTTTATGGTACGATGTGGTATGCTTGATTGGTATATAAACAAAGTATGTTTGAAATATAGTGATTCATATCTCCGAGGTTGTGGCTTGTGTTCTGGACTCAACTAACTGGGCTAGACAGGGAAGCGCAAACCAATCGAGACTCTAGGCCGTCCGTACGTGTTTGCATGTCACTGTAGTCGATCGATAACACAGGGTAGAAGTTGGTCGCAACTTAAAGTCATAACAGATGTACAATACGTTAAAATATTTGAAACAACTATTTTCTACAGAAGAAATATGAAAATTCTTAAGCGTAAACAGACATATACGAGATTACAACATAAACGCATACCGAGATAAAATCTCTAACAGTTTGCGCTGAAAGAATAAAGTTGGTGTAAAAATAAGAACAGTGGCGCTAGTACAGATACGAAACGATACAAACAAATAAAACTGAGGTTAAACAATGGATTTATCTAACTTATTATGGTCGATTCCAGCAATATTAACTAGTACCTTTAATTACAAATTAGTATAAATCCCACATATCCTGATAAACGAATTACTGTATTAATGTAGTGCTTTGGGGTTCAGCTACCATCTTTTTTTAACATCAGTTTAATCTTAACACAATCACATGTCTAATTAGACAAGATTATCACAACATATATATTTGTCAAATGCCTGAGGCATAAGTTCATAGATTGATCGATCGTTTTACTATATAAGAGTATTGCATTAAAAGTACTTACTGTCATATGATTACAACCTTGTTCGCATTTAATGACACGAAATAAGAAGAATCGATAATCTAAGTTGATATATATTTCAATGAAAACGTCTTATCCCTTGAAAAGTCTTGAACAAATACTTTGGCAAAATATCAAGTGTATGCTAATATATATATATATATATATATATATATATATATATATATATATATATATATATATATATATATATATATATTCTGTTATTTGGTTAAGCGTATATCACTTATTATGTTTACATATTAGATGATTTTCACACAGATTTTGTTTATTAGCCAAAAGAACATTTATTGGAATTCTGTTAATCATACCGTCGATGAATTAAAAATGAGAGATATTGAAATAATTTTAAAATATTAGTTCTTCAGTGTACATTTAGTCATTAGCACTATCTGTACCCATAAACGGTCACTTTTTCCTAAATTTGACCTGAAGCTATTGTCAATAAAGTTGATCACAAATCTGCAACTAAAATAACTTAGTGAGTCAGTCATACACAGCGTAGAACCTGGCGCATATGTATATCACGTCAAGTTATCACAAAGAGATGAAACTGTCAGAACGAATCCCATAGTGTAGGTAGTAACAGGTTTAGTGGTAATAGAAAAAGCTAGGCATAACCGATAGAATTTGAGGTAATATGGATTAGTCGGATGAAGAAAATTTACAAGACAATTTAGAACATCTCGATCAAAGGGAAGACAAATAGTAAGTGCACCTCCGCCACTACGAACGCCTTTGAGCCGCGTCACCTAAAGTCTAACCACTGGCTGTGATAATTACGCGGACATCGACCAAGTAGTCCGCATCTACCTGTATGGCTCAGTCCAATGATTAGTGTCCAAATGAACTGATGTCACATCTAGCTTTCACCCAACCTACAAAACTACATAATACGAGAATAACACAATTTTATGCTTTGATTTGGGTTAAGATAAGAGATATTAATTCGCTTTTTTTAAATTTTGAACAAAGATTTCAAACTTTTCTGAAAGGGACTCAGCTTCTATAAAAACCCATCTTCTCACTAACAGTAGCCACATTTTGAATCTTTTAGACAAAAGTAAGATAATTTCAGTGTGATTCCTATTTATACATTGAAAACTACTGCTCAGTAAATCGTTTTGGCCAATTAAGCAGTTTATACTAACACCTAGTTATATATGATTAGCTTTAGAGATATTTTTCGTCACAGACTGACTTTATTTGACAAACTGTTAAAAACCAGGGCACAACTGGCGGACATTGTCAAAACAGCTAATGCCAACTACTCAAATAATCAAGAAACGAACTTGACAGAATATATGTTGTAGACTAACTAACTTTCCATAACAATCAGTGACGTTTACTTCATCTACTCAGTATATTATTTTGTGTATGTCGGAAATGCACATAACACAGTGGATCAAGAAATCGTCGTCTTATGACAGCTATTGAAACACAAATCAGAACTAATGTTTTCAGTATTTAGAAACAGGAGAGCAGATACATAAGACAAGTATCTCTGTATACCCGTCATATTAAAAGACTAGTATTTGAACGAAGAATATTCTTGTCGATAAATTCTCTTCAGGTTCTACAATTATTTATCCAAATTAATAATCCGATAAATGGCCAGGTTAAGGGCAAAGTACATCGTTAAAAGCATGTGAATTTAGGATTATGACAACAAAATACAGTAAAATTGTTAACGTTAATATGACTCATATAGAATGTTAACTTGAATCTGCGTATATGTTAAATGAGATTTAAGATCCATGATCAGAATGAATATGGGTCAAGTAGGGTGAGAGAGAAATAATAGTGCAATTACAATTTGATCAAATAAGTAAGACGTAATACGCAGAGATGGATGCCAAGTGAATGAATCATGTATAGGGGAGATTAATGATGCTTAACCAATAATACGAATAATAATAATAATAATAATAATAATAATAATAATAATAATAATAATACGAAGATTTATGAATACAGATAACAGGGACAATTACAATTGACTACGAAAGGTCATATTCAAATTAGGTAATTCAACAGTTAAGATTACGATTGATTAATTGGCCTTGATATTGGCCAGGGGAGGAGGAGTGGTTGAATATATTTCTTCTGTACACGTAGCTCCGGTTTCTTCATCCAGATGGCTACTGCTTCAGCCGTTTGAAGGACTTTTAGTCTGACGAGTTTTGGCAAAAATTACTTACATTATAAATAATTGAAAAAGATTGGTTTATACTGGCATTATCACCGGTTTGTACTAAATGGGCCAATATTGAGCTGTTCACCTTCTTCATCAAACCTTTGTTTAGCCACGCTGGAAGGTGTTCACGAGCACGAAAATGTAAATTCCTAGATCTTCGACCAATATAACTCGCTCCACAGGAGCAGTCGAACTGATAAATAAAAAATGAGGTGGTCATTCTTGGTAATTCATCTTTTAGCTTCGGTGTAACCATTGGGCGTGTATGAAATACTAATCGCAGTTCTCAGGCGTTAAAATACTTCTGTATTGTCCTGCGTAATCCCTGAGTTAGTATTTCAGTAACCGCATCCCTTCTGAATTCTAGACACATGAACAGGGATTTCTTCTTCACTGTTTGTATTTCGCCTTCGTGATCATATATTTAATTTAAAACTTTCTAGGGTAGCCATTCTCGCTGAGAGTATTATGCAAGGTGATAAGCTCTTGTTCGACTATATCAGCAGAACATTCAGTAACAACGTAGAACTTCGTACGTACGTACATCAGTTCGAGTTGCCACACCACATTAGCACAGAGATGCAGTGGTCGATTCAAATCCCGTAGTGGTAGAGGTAATAAGAGTATAAGCAGTAATCGGGAAGATTAGTGTTTGGAGATGTTACTTAAAGAGTATAATACAGTGAGATAAATTTGAGAGGAGAAAAAAGAGACAAGGAGGAATAAGGAGATCAAAATTTGGGAGAACACAAAGAGTGGATGCACCTGCACCATTGCAAACGATTTTGAGCCATGTCATTCAGGGTCTCTAACCATCGGTTGCTATCATCTCGCGGTCCCCAACCAGGTAGTCTACACCTACCAACATGACTCAGTCCACTTTTCAGTGACTTCATGGACTTGTGCCATGTTTTGGTCTGGCCGCCCCTAGCTTTCTTCCAACCTACTCCTATACCACTGAGCATCGCACGTCGAGGCAGTCGGTCGTTGGGCATACGTAACACGTGTCCAAGCCATCTCAACTGATGAAGTTTCATTACTTCATCAATTGATTTGCCATCCTTACCTAGTACCCGTTTCCGAACAACTGCATTACTTACTCGATGGTCCCACGATATACGAGCAATATTTCGAAGACACCTATGATCAAATACTAGTAACCTACGAATATCCTCTACTCTTACCGGCCATGTGTCACTGCCATAAAGTAGGACGGAACGAACTGCTGCTCAGTAAACACGTCCTTTTGTTGATAGACGGATATCTCGCATACGCCATAAATGACGCAAGTTGGCAAAAGCTAGTCGAGCCTTCTGTATCCGTGCTGAGATTTCGTCACACACCAGACCACAAGGGCTGATGAGACTTCCAAGATAAGTGAAGCGATCGATACGCTCAATTACTTCACTCCCTATCATTAGTTCGGGTGTCGATGAAACCCAATCCTGAAGCAACATTTTGCATTTCGAGTGGGAGAATCGCATCCCGAACATACTTGCATTGTTGCTTAGAGTGGTCAGAAGACTCTGCATTTTGTCAGCGTCTTCGCCAAATAAAACTATGTCATCAGCATATTCTAAGTCAACAAGTGAACCTCCTGGTAGAAGTTCAACCCCTGTAAATTTAGATGAGGAGAGTGTTATCTCTAAAAGTACGTCAATGACAAAGTTAAACAAGAATGGAGAGAGTGGGCAGCCCTGACGAACACCACTTGAGGTAATCAATTCTGATGACAGTTCGCCATAAGCTCTCACTCTACCAGTTGTGTTCGAGTAGAGAGCCTTTATAAGGTTAATGTACTTCTTTGGTACTCCTTTCAGTGACAAACACTGCCATAGAACCTCACGATCAACAGAATCGAATTCTGCCTTAAGGTCGAGAAATACTACAATTGTGGGGCGTCTGAACGTGTGTCTGTGTTCTAGAACCTGACGTAGTGTGAATATGTGGTCTATACAACCACGTCCAGGTCGAAAACCAACCTGATTTTCTCTAGTCTGCTCTTCACGAGCTTTAGTTAGGCGTCGAAGTATTATTGAAGCTAATATTTTAGACACTGTATTAGTCAAACTGATTCCTCTGTGATTGTCACAAGAGGACTTTAGTCCTTTCTTATAGACTGGCACAATCAGTGATTGAGACCAGTCAGATGGGATTACGTCTAGTTCCCATATTCTACCTAAGACCTCAGTTTATCTCACTGCTAATACTGGACCACCATCCTTAAAAATCTCAGGAGCAAACCTGTCAGGGCCTGCTGCTCTCCCTCGTTTCAGATTTCCTATGGTTTTTTCAACTTCGTAAAGAGACGGAGGATCCTCATTAACTTGCCATTCAGGTTGACTAGAGATCGTGGGAAACCGAAGTGTGGCTGAAGGCCAGTTGAACTGATCCCTAAAGTGTTCTGCCCATCGATCCAATCTCCTGGATTGAGAATGAATAATATGTCCATCTTTCTCTGAGAATGTTTCGCTAACAGTCGGTTTCCTAATACCGGTTTCCCTAATAAGTCTGAACAATTGTCTGCTATAACCTATTGCCACTGCCTTTTCCATCTCTCTTGCTTTCGCTACCCACCACTGTTCACGATCATTGCATAGACTATATCAGCAGAACATGTAGTGAGAACACAGTAACTAAGGTTTTTGATCAAGTTTTGTTTGTACTGTAGAGGTACAAAGCTCAGGAAATTCGTATACTGCCCAGTCCATGTACTTTTTCTGTGTAAGTTCCTTTTTAACGATCCATACGCTCTCTTAGTCAAGAGAACGTCCAAAAAGGCTATTCGGCCATCACTTTCTTCTTCAAATGTAAACTGAATGGCTGGATGCACTTCATTAAATCGCCTAAGAACCTCTTGCGGCGACGTATTATCTTTACAGAGGATGAACGTGTCATTCATGTATCTAAAGTAAAATTTGAAGCTTTGAATAATCTTTTTTAGTGGACCATTTCTTAGTTTGGCTAGAAAAATATCAGCTAGTATAGGACCCAGTGGTGAACCCATTGCAACACCATCTGTTTGTCTATATATTTCACCGTTGAACTTGAAATTCACATTCGTGGTGCATTTGAGTAATAACTCTTTCACGACATTAATAGGGACAGTAGTTTCAATTTCATTTTCCATCAGCTGTTCATCTATATATTCTACAGTCTCTGAGTGGGACGTTTGTGAATAACGATGTTACATCCAATGACATCATCTTGAGTACCAACGTATTTGCATTTTTGATTTTATCAAAAAATCGGAGCAGATCCTTAACACTATATTTTACAAGCTTTTCGTGTAGAGGTTTCAATACAGTTACCAACCATTTAGCTATAGTATGGTAAGGAGAGTTATACATATCTAAAATAGGTCTTAATGGGATCCCCAGTTTGTGCGCCTTTGGCAATCCATACAATCTCAGTAGATGGGTTTATCACAATCCTAAATTCACATGCTTTTAACGATGCACTTTGCCCTTAACCTGGCCATTTATCGGATTATTAATTTGGATATATAATTGTAGAACCTGAAGAGAATTTATCGACAAGAATATTCTTCGTTCAAATACTAGTCTTTTAATATGACGGGGATCTTTAAACGATTAAAATGTTGTGAACAACCCATTGCGTTGAAGGTGCTCAATGAGTTCCTGAAGTCTAACGTAAAGTTCACTGAAACGAAAACTACTATTGAACTTATCAATAGGTGCATCGAATCACGTCTATTTGAAGTTTGTGCTGATGATGTCCTTCAGAAGAACGATGAAAGCTCCACGACCAAACCATCCATCTCAGAGAACAAAACTCCACCAAAAAGGAACAATTATTTGAAGTTTGAGAATAAATCGGATGATAGTTATGGTTTATTTTACAAGTTGGTAATAGACCAATAATATCCAGTATTAAGAAGGAAATGGAAAAAAGTAGTGAAACCATTAAAAATATCTGTTGTAACACATCGAATACTACAAAATTGCACAAACATAATAACGACTAGTTAAACGACAAAACCTGGTTCATGATCTGCGTCGGATAATAACAATTCCAAGTGTGGGATTTCACCAGCATTATGTACAGTTGATAAAAGATGACGAAAGTCTGGGATAAATCTTTCCCTGAAAAATCCTCTTTCCGTAACAGAATGCCCAGCTAAAATAATAGAAATACCACGAGAAACAGCCTCAAGACGATCATGATGAGATAATTCTCCAGTTATAAATAAATCGGCAGCAAATGAAGCTGGTGTTTGGCATAAAAGCGACCCGCCGGAACCAGCACATACAGCAACTGTTTTAATTGGACAGTCTATTGAATAACAACAACAACAACAATTATTATTATTATGGTAAATAAATGTTATGATTGATAGTTAACAAAATACCAGGAGGTTAAAGCAGGATTTCCAGGATGTTAAAATGCATGAAATAATAAAAATAAATCCTCGTGAAAATGACTGAGATAAATTCCTTCTGTATTACATTTCTCATGCTTAAATACTAACTAAAACTGGCATTTTTTCCTATCATTTGGCTCGTATCTTTCTAATTTCATTTTTCTCTGTGCTAATATGACGTGCGGTAGATCGGACTAAAAAGCATTCGTACTAGGTCCTACATCAAAGATGATTAAATGACAAACCTACAAGTATGAATAGGAGAAATCTTAGAATATATGCGCTTGTGCATCCCCATAACACATTCAAGATATTATCTCACAATGCAATGATCGCCAAAATCTATATTTGAACGCTTAGAGTCGCATGGATACAAACAATGGTCCGTCATATAAATAGATGACAATCAATGAGTATATTTATTGTAATTAAAGGTAAATTTACAAAGAAGTCTACAAGACATTGAATTAAGGAATATTGACCTGATGAATTTAGAATACGTAAAACCTATTGAAACGTCAGTAAAGATGTGAAGTAAACACAGAATTTTGAAGTCCTATGAATGTCTTAGGGCATGAACTGTACACACAAAGTTGAATTCTGGCACACAACCGATCTGCTGATGGACTGATGTTAGCTACCTAGTCGAAGTCATACTACATGTTTGCTACACAATTGATCTTTACATCAGCCTATTCATCACGTACTATACACTACATACAGTACTCACTATCTAAAAACGCCTTATATTTTATATGTGGTCTGATAAATTCGTGTGTATGAAATGTATCTCTACCTAATACGACTTTTAATTTCGCGTTGTCTGTGTTAAGTTCAATAATACGTACGAAATTGATCTTAGAGAATATTAACTTGGGATTGAATAAACACAAAAGTAATTCAGTTATCAGACGACAGTTGGTAAAATTCCATGACATGAAGAAATAATATGTTATGTCCTGCATAAGACAATAAGATATGGTCGATGAAGGCCGGCAACATGGAAAAGTTTGTTTTAGACCAGAGGTACCCTTTCAGTACTGTTGAGAGTAATATGAAAACTGAACTAATCACTCAGGAAATAAGTGTATGGTTTTATTTGGGCCACGTAAATTAGGTGTCACAAATTATGAACATGAATTGACTGGGTTAGTCTGACTACAATTTACAAGTCTATCCATTATTTATTTATGCTTTAATATTTCCACTGTATACTCCGAAAGATAGGGGAACATTCCAAAGAGAAATACAGTTGACCTAATAATCAGATTTTTACGAATAGAGAAGATTCGTGGTGAGGCTTTTTTTAAATAGTGGATAGGAGAGGTGGTCCGTTTATGACACGGAGCTGTCGTCTAGAAGATAGTCGTAAATTACTAGCATCTGACAAGCTATCACAAACCCCTGGTTGAGTTAGTGAAGATAACGCAACTCCGTAGCTTAAAAAATATCGTAATGGCTCAGAATAGAAATAAGTCGTGATCCGGTAGCAGCCTCAACTTCTTTATATCTCATTTTACCAGAATTTGTTTCCTATGGATAAATGGGTACTTTAAGTAATCAGAAAGTAGGTTTGATTACTTACTCGTAAATCAATTACAAATATGATTGCATGAGTAGCATTTAGGATTTTTACTTGCTCTTTATATACAAAACTACGGAACAGGTGACTTAGAAAAATCTAAGCAATAACAATGTACAACAAGGAAATGCAGGAAAAAGGATTAAAAAATATTTAAAACTATGGGTTAAATAGGAGTGAAGAGGAGAAAAAGCTGAAACAGAACATAAGCATTAAGTGGATTAGGTGTAATAACATCAATTATCTACTTACAACCTATAACACCTCCCTTTCATACTAACCTGTGATTGCAAACACGATGAAAATAAGAAGCATGTACTTGATGTCGGTGAGAACTACTCTTGTTAGATGTTCTCACATGGTCACGTGTATACAACCACTGCCAGGGAAGTCCTACTCACTGTCTTCTCGCTGCGAGGGTGTTGTTTACGTAATCGAGAGGACAAAAAGCGAATATCCGGCACTTTAACCGGGTTAGTGGATATGGAGGACCCACCTAGGGGAGTTGGAAAACCCTGATTCCGAACCGGTAGTGTATATGAGCTCCAGGTTCCTGAGGAAACAAATGGCGTATGAACCCATTGTTGGTCACTGGCTACCATGGGTCTGCATCTCTTGACGTTGCTCCACTGCCTTGTGGATCAGACCTTCAGGTCGAAGGCTCTAGGTGTGGCCTCCCTAAGAAAAACACATGCTCCGGTCTAGGCATCCGAGCAGTACCACAGCCCACACACAAATCAAGTGACTTGTGTAGTGAATATGTATTCGGTGCCCCATTTGTACCAATATTTATGTTCAAATAAATAAATAAAACTGGTGATCAAGTGCAATTTTCTTTTGTAAAGATACAAACAGAAATTCCATACATTTATATAAAAGACAACAGCAGTTTTACATATGATTCTACAGTAGAATAATGTTGGAACTAACATTAGGTTGTGGAAGTGAACGTCTTACAAGTCAAGGACTGAAGTTTACAAGTTAGAAATGTGTCCGATATTTCAATGAACATAGTTCACATGTCACAAGAAAAACTTAGGATATTCGAACTGATAAAGGCTACTTTCGCTTCAAGAACAAACATAACAAATGTCTTACACTACTTATTAATAGTGAGTAACGCGACCAAGTGCATTGAAAATATATTGGTGCCAAAGACTGCGAAACATTCAAATATGATTTCATGCTTGAAGTATAAGTCCTAGTAGAGCCGATCCCCAAATACCTTTTCATTACCATTTGTTATGACTAAATAATTATATAAATGTCTTTCTAAGTACCATCTAAATAAAGGTACTATCGTCATAGTCTATTCTATCTAAATAACGTAGCGCATTTAAATTCCCGTCTAACTTAATATAACTCACAAAGATAAAAGTTACACAAATGGAACACAACAAAATTTTTTTAGAAGTATTTCACAAGCTTTCAGGGAGGAACTCATGAAATATATCGAAATCAGATATGTTCAGAGCTTAAATACTATGATTTATCTTGGAAGTCTGATCAGCCCTAATGGGTTGGTGTCTGACGAAATCTCCGTATGAATTCAAAAAGCTTGTTTGGCTTTTGCCAACTTACGTCACCTATTGCGAAGGTGAGATATCCGTCTATCGATTAAGCGACGAGTATGCTGCGCGGCAGTTCGTCCTGTTATACTTGACGACTGAGAAACATGGCCATTAAAAGTAGAAGATATCCGTAAGCTACTAGTCTTTGACCACAGATGTCTTAGAAATATTGCTCGCATCTGCTGAGATCACCAGATAAGTAATAGTGAGGTTAGACATAGGGTATTAGGGAATGATGGTAACTCACTTGATGAAGTTGTGAATCTTCACCGACTGAGATGGTTGGGCCACATGTTACGTATGCCCGAACACCGATTACCACGAAGCACAATACTGATTAGTGTTGGGGATGGTTGAAAGAAAGTTAGGGGCGGCCAAACCAAAACGCGGCATCAGTGCTTGAAGTCACTAACTTCTGGTCTTAGCCATGTTGATAGATGCAGAATACCTGTTTGGGGTTCGCGTGACTATCGTAACCAATGATTGGAGACTCTGGGAACTAGACGTAATCCCATCTGACTGGTCTCAATCACTGATTGTGCCAGTCTATAAGAAAGGGCAAAAGTCCTCTTGTGACATTCACAGAGGAATCAGTTTGACTAATATAGTGTCTAAAATATTAGCTTCAATAATACTTCGACGCCTAACTAAAGCTCGTGAAGAGCAGACTAGAGAAAATCAGGTTGGTTTTCGACCTGGACGTGGTTGTATAGACCACATATTCACAATACGTCAGGTTCTAGAACACAGACACACGTTCAGACGCCCCACAATTGTAGTATTTCTCGACCTTAAGGCGGCATTCGACTCTGTTGATCATAAGGTTCTGTATCAGTGTTTGTCACTGAAAGGAGTACCAAAGAAGTACATTAACCTTATAAAGGCTCTCTACTCGAACACAACTGGTAGAGTGAGAGCTTATGGCGAACTGTCATCAGAATTGATTACCTCAAGTGATGTTCGTCAGGGCTGTCCACTCTCTCCATTCTTGTTCAACTTTGTCATTGACGTACTTTTAGAGATAACATTTTCCTCGTCTAGATTTCCAGGGGTTGAACTTCTACCAGGAGGTTCACTTGTTGACTTAGAATATGCTGATGACATAGTTTTATTTGGCGAAGACGCTGACAAAATGCAGAGTCTTCTGACCACTCTAAGCAACAATGCAAGTATGTTCGGGATGCGATTCTCCCACTCGAAATGCAAAATGTTGCTTCAGGATTGGGTTTCATCGACACCCGAACTAATGATAGGGAGTGAAGTAATTGAGCGTGTCGACCGCTTCACTTATCTTGGAAGTCTCATCAGCCCTTGTGGTCTGGTGTGTGACGAAATCTCAGCACGGATACAGAAGGCTCGACTAGCTTTTGCCAACTTGCGTCATTTATGGCGTATGCGAGATATCCGTCTATCAACAAAAGGACGTGTTTACTGAGCAGCAGTTCGTTCCGTCCTACTTTATGGCAGTGACACATGGCCGGTAAGAGTAGAGGATATTCGTAGGTTACTAGTATTTGATCATAGGTGTCTTCGAAATATTGCTCGTATATCGTGGGACCATCGAGTAAATAATGCAGTTGTTAGGAAACGGGTACTAGGTAAGGATGGCAAATCAATTGATGACGTAGTGAAACTTCATCAGTTGAGATGGCTTGGACACGTGTTACGTATGGCCAACGACCGACTGCCTTGACGTGCGATGTTCAATGGTATAGGAGTAGGTTGGAAGAAAGCTAGGGGCGGCCAGACCAAAACATGGCACAAGTCCATGAAGTCACTGAAAAGTGGACTGAGTCATGTTGGTAGGTGTAGACTACCTGGTTGGGGACCGCGAGATGATAGCAACCGATGGTTAGAGACCCTGAATGACATGGCTCAAAATCGTTTGCAATGGCGCAAGTGCATCCACTCTTTGTGTTCTCCCAAATTTTGATCTCCTTATTCCTCCTTGTCTCTTTTTTCTCCTATTGTGAATCGCGAGTTGGCTACTCTAAATTCTACCGATTGACTAGCTTCAGATATCCCAGTTCGACCCCAATACTGTTCCCAATCTCCAATATATCAGAACACGAACCGTAGATGAAAAATCGTTTATGGGGTCAGGAGCAGCAGAATAATGATTTACAAACAAATGCATATTTATACAGTTAGGATTACTATAAATATTGACCAACAGAAAGATGACACGTTAAATAATATTGACCAATAGGAAAATGACACGCGAAATAAATATTGATCAGTAGGGAAACGTCCAATAGGGAAATGACACCATTTAACGTTCAAGGGTAGCATTAGACTTAACCGGATAATTGTTTCTGGGATATTCTTCTGAATATCCCAACATCTCCTCTCAAATTTATTTCACCGTATTATACTCTTTAAGTAACATCTCCAAACACTAATCTTCCCGATTACTGCTTATACTCTTATTACCTCTACCACTACGGGATTTGAATCGACCACTGCATCTCTGTGCTAATGTGGTGTGGCAACTCGAACTGATGTACGTACGTACGAAGTTCTACGTTGTTACTGACTGAGTGACTGACTTAAAATTCATCACAATGGCGTGATGGATTAAAAATTGCTTTATATCTTTTTTCTACCAACTAATTCTTTCATCCTGTACTATATCCTGATACACAATCTTTTATATATTACCACCATTGAATTAAATACTTCTATGAATTCGGTGTTCATCTTGTCGTGCTAATGAGGTATGGCAACTCGGAACAATGCATATATGTACCTGGTCTTACGTTGTAGCTGACTGGCTAAATACTATGATAAAAGAGAAAGTAGTTTTATTTACACATAGGTGAACAGTACGCATTTTTCTACGATAGAATTTTGATATTAACAGTAGGCTTTCATGTTTGTATTGTAAAATTGGTAAGATTGTGCCTGAACAAAGGATATCGACGTGTGATAATAGCCAGTCTTATTCGGTAATGACACAAGTACTGAATCATATCAACAAAATGGAAATTAATTCTCAAAACCAACGAAGATAGAATGAACTACAGAAATACTTCAGCCCAAATAATTTAATGAGCACAAATGATATATTATCGGTCTTTAATATATTGATTCAGCTAGATGGGTTACATGATGGACATCAAGACAAATATCAAGAAAAGATCATGCGTATACTTATGTTTGTTGATGCTCTAGTCAAGAGCAAATCTGAGCCTCATATGCATCTGTCAATAAATTATCTTAAAATTCTTCATGCAGCTGTTAATAATATATACGATATAAAAACATAGTAATCATCTTATATTACTAGTGTTACTCAAATTTTCTATTAGTTGATTCTTTGATACACCATTATATCATGCATTGTTATATCGAATCATATTAAGTAGGCAGCACCAGATTATTTATTTATTTGAACACATAAATATTGGAACAAGAGGGCACCACATATATATGCGCCACACAAAACAATGAGAATTTGAAGAGAAAAAACAGAACAATAACGACCACAGATTAGTGTAAGGTAGTGTAATAATAATAATAATAATAATAATAATAATAATAATAATAATAATAATAATAATAATAGTGATAATGGGGGCAACGGAAAGGCACAATCAGAACAATTTTTCAGTTAAGGAAGACGCAACCATTTTCTTATGAAAAAGGTAAAAGGTTACAGCAGGATCGCCACTGGCTTCTATTCTGAGCCATATCTGATAACGCCTCTAGACACTGTGTCGCACCATCTCTCGGAGCCCAGCCAGGGAGTCGTGAAGGACCAGCACAGGCCAGCCCTTTGCAGCTTTCTTTCATACCACGACACCATATTATACACTGACCACCTCTCCGATTTTTCCAACTAGTCCCAGTGTAGGCAAATAATGCACAACGTGGAATTCTCTGGGATGACATTCGGAGAACATGTCCAAGCCACCGGAATTGATGTTTCAAGATGGTGAAATCAATTGCATTATCGTCTCTGCGCCCGAACACACGATGCCGAACCTCTGCATTACTAACATTATGTTGCCACTGGATGTCAGCAATCCTTCGGAGACAACGATGATCGAACACAGAGTCGTCTAACATCCTCAACTCGAAGAGACCAGGTTTCACAGGCATAGAGCAGAACTGCTCTGACCGACGCATTGTAGATCCGACCTTCTACAGCCAGACTAACATCACGAAGGCGCCAAAGATGACCCAGATTGGAATAAGTCGCTCTGGCTTTCACTATACGTGCATTGATCTCATCACTCACGCCACCACCAGCACTTATGCAGCTACCTAGATACACGAACTTCTCGACTACTTCTACCTGCTCACCATCCAGAGTGAGTACAGGATTAGGATCCTGCCAGTCTTTTAGAAGTACTTTACACTTCGAAGGTGCAAAGCACATACCATACCTACGGACATTGATTGCCAACTGATTACGTGCGTAATCAGTGGTCACCGGCTACCATGGGACTGCATCTCCTTACGATGCTCCACTGCTTTGTGAGTTAGACCTTTAGGTCAAAGGCTCGAGATGTGACCCCTAAGAAAACCACCTACTTCGGTCTGGGCACCCGGGCAGTATCACAGCCCACACACAAATATGATGAAAATGATGATATTTACTGAAAACTCTATTCTCGCCACCACCAGCACCAGAAGCGACACAAGTTAATAAACTGAACTCTGAGCTTAAATCATATTATGGACCTATTAAACAGAGACAACTCAGAGAACTAGCTAGTGAGGTCAATAATGAATCATTTCATCCCGTGAGATCTGTTGAAGCATGAAAGGCCAGTAGTAAAATGTTAGTTCCCATTTGTTCGATATATAACATGTGGCTTGTAAAAACAACTATTACAACAATCTACATAAAATCCAACGATAAGCATTGCGACATGGTCCTTTAATCAATGGAATTAAAGACGATAGGTATATTTAAGTTCGACTCGTATGGTACCTTTATGTACACACTTATTACAGCCGAAAAAAGAGTAGCCTGCTTTCTATCAAACCTGAAAACTAATTTTCTCGATTCCGGTTTCTTCATAGCAAATCAGTTGTTGGATAACCAGAAGTGCCCTCGACAATTACTTTATATAAACGTTTACAAAAATGAAATTAGGAGAAATTTAGATAAAACACTTATCTTACCGAGGGTTTTACCTAGTCCTGGGGCTACAGTTAAATGCCCTATGTTTAGAAACTTTTTGTAGGCAGCGATAATTGCTTTTAGATGAACTGGGAACTGTAGAGTGACCAGTCTGCCACATCCTTCTTCACTTGTCTACAACATATTCTTTTGATAGTGCATATACCTTTTGAATATTTTCGATGCTAACAACTGAAATTTTAAGCTCCTCCGTCACATCTACAACACGTTTTAAATCGGACTCGGTACAGGTAACAATGGCTGTTATTCCAGCATTACTGATCATGATAATGTGATGAAAAAATGACTTACCTCTTAATATTAGTTGTACACACTCCTACTCCTGTGGATATGACGAAGTCTCCGAAATTTTCGTTCATAACAACGGTCAACCTGGATAAATTTTGAGTAATTGGTGATCGAGATAAACTCTCTCTTCGATTGACAGCTATAGAACAATATTAAGTTAGTCTGAATTTACCTAATGGTTCTAAAAGCCAATCGTTGATACCTCCAAGTTTTGCATCAAGCCCGGTGTGTGGTGAAAATACACCGATTTTGTTTTCTATACAACGTACAACTATACGCTCTTTCCAATGCTGTTGCGTAAGCTTTTTAAGAGGAGAGAAAATTGGTGGATGGTATGAAACGATCAGACCACATTTTTGAGAAATCGCCTCATCGAGTACTTGTTCTGTTAAATCATTTGTGATAAAAATCCTGTCCACATGGTGTGGAATAGAAGGTTCTATTAGGAGACCGACATTATCCCACTTTTCGGCCAAGTGTGGTAAGCAATATGCATCCAACAATTTAACAATTTTGGTAAGCTCCATTCCTTTATGGGCCAACTTTGAAAGGAACATGTATTAACAAAATCGAGAACAGGATGACAAACTAGCAATAAAAATGAGCAAATTACCTTACAATAAAAATAGCAAAAGTCAAGATGAGGTACACAAAACTGGAAAGTAGAGATAACAGCAAAATTATTTTGCGAAAAAAAATTTGGAAGTGTATTTGCCTCAATCTTGGCAAAATAACAGAAGGTAAACATATTTTAATGCTTTTATTTATAAGAGTGAAGATATAGATTTTCAGGGGTTTGGAGAATTAAATGCCTAAAACTCACACCAAGATGCGGAATTAGACTGCCTATAAAATCAATTCAGTCGTTTATGATAAGTAAAATACGACGAAGACATATATACCTCTAAAACAATACTTTTAAATAATACGGAGGATATTTTAAGTGTGAAAAGCGTTAACTCTTCTCACGTCATAGATTAATTGGTAAATCACGTGTGTATTTCGCACAAGTCTACAGTTATAAATCTCTTCAAACGAAATAAAGTACACAGGATGATCCAGTTTTTCCGAAAAAATGTAGTACTACTTTTATCACATAAATGTGGCTAGTATATATATATTAGATGAGTAAATGAAAAATACACTAAGTAATGAAACAGGATATGGCTCAACGAAGACTGATTTCAAACGATTACCACGTAGAATGATACGCAAAGTTCTACATGGATACTTAGTGAGGTCTCTCACACCGACAAGCCGTTGTCACCTCAAACCGCCTGAGACGACCTTGGTATTAACATGTCTTATCTTTTCCTTCCGTCTAGGACTGATAATAAGAGGACGTTCGAAGAAAGTTTAAAAACAGAAATCAAATCGTTTACGTCTGAAGTTTCATTTTTCGCATCGAGTAGTGAATTACTGGAATTCCCTAACGGGACACGTAATATCAGCAACTTCTGTTGATATATTCAAAACGAGATTGGACCTCCACAGCATTACAAACTGCAAGGATTAATATAGGTCGATAGACCCCCCATCCTTGTTACTGGAGGTAGCTCTCGAGGTTCCCATCCTCAAACGGCCTCGGCACTTTCACATTGATCCTGACAGAAACACCAGATGTAAAGAAGGCAATACGGGGAAGGGACGCATATTTGCTATGAGAAGTCACAAAGTATTTGCCATATATATATATATATATATATATAGAGAGAGAGAGAGAGAGAGAGCCTTATATCGTCTGTTTGCACCTATCAGAGTGTATTGCTTTTAGACAAGTCATATCATATCCAACATTTATCTGACACTTATTCGGATTACCTCTTTTTGAATTTTCACAAATCTCACTATGCTGACAACAACCTCTCATGATAAGCCTATATCGTTTCCGCCATGCTCCCAACAGATATGTCTTTTTGCGATGTTTTTAAATCCTCATATTCCACATCAACTTTCACATTAACGTTGCATACGCATAGGTTTCATTATATCATCTCTAGACCAGTCGTATTTAACAAGTATCTGAACTGCGCATTGCATTTCGCATCAAACCTATCACGGTTCTTACGGCCAATGAGACTCAACTCCGGTTCGTAACTCGACATTAAGCAAGCACGCTTTACGAACGGAAGGTTCGGCACCCAACGTGGTTTGTATTTCTCGAACTTTAGATGTATCTCTATGTGACAAAAGAACCATTTTTTTCAAAAGAATCTTTCCTGAGCCTAACGTTCAGTAGATTACTTTTCTTTTTGACTTCAATCCCAACTACTAGTTAACTATGGATTTACCTCAACTTATAATACGCGCTCCACAGTTTTCCACACCAAGGTTATCTTCAGTACATCCTAACATTTTATACCACTGGCTTTTATCCATTTCAGGTACATTTATTTCACGGTCGTGAACCACTGAAAGGATCAATATAAACACCTATACTTAATAATGCAAGCCATCTGGAAGCAGTTATAGTGTAAATAAAGCCCCAAAACAAATAGTTTTGACATTTGATACTGACCTCATTAGTTTTACTGGACTCACTCAACTCAAGGTACTCGGTCAAACATTCTCACCAGACGACGCGTGGGTAAATCCTACTACTCATCCCTTGCAACTGTTAACCAGAATAGATCAAACATTTCTCGACATATCGATAGCCTACCAAATATATTTTAGAGCTCCTTCAATTCTGACTTCTGATTTGAACGGGTTGACATACCACCGCCACCTTAACTACTCTTTTCATCACCCTAGACATCTTTGAAGTTTTGTTATGGGCCAGTAATTTTCAATATTTGCTTCAGAACCTGTTTTAATTTTGGGAATGATATGTTTATTATTCCTGGCAGTAAGATAACACGCTGAAGAGTGATGTCACAAGTAGTTTGAGAAGTAAAACACACATATCATCACCTCCACATTTAAGCGTTTCATCCGTATCAGGGTATTTCAATGTATTAATTTTGTACATTGAAGTTTACATTAGTAATTTCACAGGGAGGTACTGGGATTGGTTCTGAATCATTTAGTGGTTTTTCGTTAGTTAATGAGAAACAAAATTGTTCACTAAATAGTTCCGTAACAAGTTTAGGATCTTCGTATACCTGTTTGTCTTTAGTAAGTATGTTCCATCTCGATTAGAACGTCTAAGTTTTTTTGAACGAGTATGGTGAGTGCAGAGGGGTTACTATTAAGTTCGACAGCATGTTTTTCCTGTGCAACTGTTTTGTGTGTACGTATCGCCTCTATTCGGACCAATATTCTTGTCATCGTTGCTAAGGAGCGAAAGTCATTTAAGTTGTGGAATCGAGTACAATGTCTTTAAAGACGTCTTCCTGTACCGACCGGTATATACAGATCTTTGGGGAACATAGGTCTCCAGTATTCTGAAATTGCGATTTTGTCGATGATATTTCTGATGTTGTGATAAAATATATTTGTTAGTGTGTAGTGTCATTGGAACATGACCACACAACCCTCAAAGCTGAATACGAGATTACTCGGAAAATAGGTAGTCAGTATTTAACGCGGAGAAATACCTAACGATGAAGAAGACGCAAATAAGGAATTGAATGAGTTAAAGTTAATCGAATAGCATGGCTAGGTCATGCAGGCGTGTTCCCTGTTGAATATTACCTTATATCTTTTATTCATATTAAACATATTGCTCTTTCTCTAACCCAAGCTTATTCTTCATCATGTATTGGTAGTTGTTACGATGCAGTGAGTTGGTGTAGACGATGATGTGACTTCCACGTAAGACCTTATATCATGACAAATCTACAATTTTAGGATTAGGTCTATTATTAGAGCAGTACTAATATTATAGAAGACCATAATTCCACAAGTGTGTCGCCATTGTTTGCAGTAAAGAAAGTTCTCCAATCAGTGCTTCTTAGGTAATTGTGGAAGTTATTCCAATCAACCTTGCGATAGTTCCTACGAAATGTTACAGTTTTACTCCTGCAGGTTGTGGTCTTTACATCAAGGCTGCATATGACAATGTTATGATCATTACCTGGAAACGTTTTTCCAATATACAAAGTATTGGGGATGAGGCCATTGGTAAAGACAAAGTCCAAAATGTTTTGATGTCTGGTAGGGCTATTGACACACTGAGTCCATTGTCCAAGCTCTAGACATTCAGTAAATGATTCATAACGTCTTGGCACTTTGACTGGGAGCCAAGAGATTTCGGGCATGTTGAAGTCACTATAACTAGGCTTGTCTGTGAATGGAAGAGATGATGTTAATGTAAATACCCCCGATAATACTGCTATTTCATTTATTAAGACTTTAGGTTGACGGTAAACACAGCTGAACAGTAAGTTAATGGAACTCAATGGACTTAAAACAATCCACACCGAATCCTTTAGTTGGTTTAGTTCAGGCATATCACATAGTAGTGAGTTTAGGCTAGAGTGGGTGTAAGTAAGGCATCCTCCGCATCGTCCTTTCAGTTTATCGCTTCTATATAGGAAATAGTTATCAAGAGTTATACTTAAATCAGAAATATTAGTGTTAGTTTATGCTTCAGTTATCGGTATAGACGAAGGTTGTTATATGGATACAAACAGGGCTAAATCCTTTTTTTATTGCAGATCGACCTAGCGTTGATAAGACACACATTTAAAAAATGGCCTACTAAATTGAAATGAGTAAAAGTATATCGGTTAAAGTTGTCATAACCCTCGCGGGTATGATATGGTTTTAAAGTGAGGGTTTGAATGTTCTTCATTAGCTCAGTATTTTGATAACTAGAGTTAGTGGAAGATTTATCAAGTGAGCTGGTGAAGTTTCTTAGGGAGTTTACTCAGGATTATGCTTTATTCGCGATGTCTTTCAAATCGATGAGTTCGCACTAACACGACGTTGCACTGTTGAGGACCTCATGAGAGACGAGCAGTTCGGTATGAACTGCCGATAGAAAATTAACTGACCATATACACAATATATGTAGTTGCATGACTGTGGTCAGTTCTGGGTAATCCAGAACGGCAGCTACTTTGCTTTGCAAAAAATAAATCTTGGGATTCGGTCATGATTTGATATGTCTGAATATTTAGAGTAACATCGTGTTTTTGCAGTCGTTGGAAAACAAGGCTCAGATGCTGGAGACGACATTCTCCTTCCGAAATTGCGATTATACAGTCATCTACATATGCACCTACGAAGTTGAGACTTCAAAAGACGTCACCGACGAATCTCTGCAAAGTCTGTACAGCATCGCTTAAACCGAAATGCCTGAGCAAAAATTCGTAGAGTCCGAAGGGAGCAATGAAAGCGGTTTTACGAATATCATCAGCAACCACAGGAATTTGGCTATAGGCGTTAGCCAAATTAATTTTCGAAAACACTGTCGTACCTTCTTAGACAGCTGTCAAATCGTGAATTTACTCGACGGCGAATGATCAAGAATGGCTCTCGCCTTCAGTCACCGGTAATCAGCAGTTGGAGTCCTGTCGTTGCTGTTCATTTACGAGACCACGTGCGAGAGAGATGTTCATGGACTGTTCGATGGCCTTATGATTCTCAAGTATATCACGTGGGCAAATCGGTTCTCGTCCAAGCTTAGCTGGCTACACACAGTAATTCTTATGGCTTTTGGTACAGATCAAGGTACTTATTGAGTATCTGATGACAGAATGGGCCGATTATGTGCTCAACAGTGACAAGGGATAATCTGCACCCGGAACAGGGAGCTACACAAACGGATAAATTAGCACTTCGGTCTACTAAGTTCTGTTTCTTGCGTCGGTAAGCAGATTGTGGTGTTGTAGCAGGTCTATACCAGTGTTTGGCATAGAAACATCTGCAACAAAGGGTTTGTGTAAACACATGTCAAGCTGAACATATCTCTTACCATAAATGGCAATCAATTTTCCATCAGCCGCCTGTAAGTTGAAAACTGGTTCGTACGGTCGGTCGTTAGAATTCGCTGAAAGAACGCTAACTTTTGCATCAGTGTCGACGAGGTTGTGAACTTTCACCATCTAGTCACTGGTCAGTGGCGGAAGACTATGTTCACTTGCCACGGTTCCCGCTAGCTCGTACCGGCGAGGAAGTTTCCTAAAATGTTTTTCTTTTCAGATGGTCCTGAGCTTGAGAAACTGAAGGGTTTTCTGTAAATTCTAGAGGACCTACCATATTTATTGTGGTACCAGCGCCACAAAGCAGTATCCATCTCCTTTTTTCTGGAGACGGATCTTCGTGACGAGTTTCTCTGAGGAGTTCGGAAGTGTCTACAATTATGATGAGCATTAGAGCGACGAGTAAGAGTGTGACAGAGACATGTCGCGTCATTGTTTGTTGTTTGAGGATTTTCTTTGAAATAATAAACCTCACCACTGAAGGTCATGATGATCTCCAGGATTCGGTCGACCGATGCAGCCAGTTCATCTATGGCGTTATCTTGAAACGAGACAGGGACTGCCTGCACCTCTTGGTGAGGCTTAGACAAGAAGAGCTGTATAAACAGGCCCTTATCAAAGGTCTGTTGATCAGTGAACTCTCTCATTTGCAGCAATATTTCCGTTCCTGAGCCACGCTGCAACTTGATGCTGTGGAAGTTTGTCTAGCCTTTGTCAGTCGGTTAGATCTCCAAGCCTAAGGATAATGTCTTTTAGAGTTTCTTAAGTTTCCGAAACACCACTAGTAGACATACTGTGTGCGGCGTACTTGTTGAAATTGCGCGGTAGTGACTTCACTACTGCTAGGGATTGTGCACGTGGTTCTGTCACGCCGTGCTCGTGGAAGTCAGTTTCTGCGTAGCAGGACCAGGCTTGAATACTGTTAGACCGAAACGTCATTAGCTGGAATGAAGGAGGCGAAAGAGTCTTTATCTTAAATAACTAAGGAGTCAGTTTCGCCATGATAAATATAAAGTATACAAATGGACGAGAAAAATGTATCCAAAAATTCAAAACATCATCACAATATGTAAAAGATAACGATTAAGAAATAATATATAATGTTCCAACAAGTAACAGACTCACAGTTCACAAAAATAAATGTATCAGATCACGTATAACTCACCACTGAAGGTCCCAAAAGTGCTCAGAGTTTGAGAACACATTTACATGTAACACCCTTATGTTGGAAGTATGTCAACTTATTCAAATCGGAAGTTAGAAATGAAGGTTTTTTAGTGGCCCGTGATCTGACCCCAAGTAGATCGTATGAATGATTGTTATTGAAATATATATGTCGCCTATCCTCGTATATAATCATTGACTTAAATCGCGTTAGTCAATAACGGGAAACGTTTGATCTATTCTGGTTAACAGTTGCGTAGCACGATGTACCCATGCGTGATCTGGTGAGAATGTGCGACCGAGTACCTTCAGCCGGGTGAGCTCAGTAAAACTAATGAGGTCAGTATCAACTGTTGAACACTTATAATGCTTGTGATGACTTCTTTTAACGATTAACATAGGGTGCTACATGGATACATCAGTGATCTATTGCTACCATATCCGAAAGTCTGTTCAAGTGGTTCAAATGGTTGTGGACGGAACAGAAGAAGCTTTCGCTTAACAGGCTTCCGTGTCTAGTAGCAGGGGATCACCAAATCCTCCAGGCAGAAACCTAGGTATGTTAACAATAAAAGGGGAAATACAAATGTGTAAATCATAGTATGATGCTGTCCTTGGCCCTTAAGAATAGGTCAAGTTGCCTCTTAGGTTAGTGTCCAAACTAAGCTTAACTAGGTGTTTAAGAGAATGTCCAGAAGTGTTGAGAATACTATAGGCCATTAACAGATCACCTCTAAGACGCCTATACTTTAATGGGTAAAGGTTAAGTGGTTGGAGGCGCTCTTCGTAAGGTTTAGATTTGAGTCTTCGAACTGATTTCGTTGCTCGCCGTCGGATACGCTCCAGAGTGTCTTTATCCTCTTGGAGTGAAGGAGGAAACATTATGTTTCCGTACTCTAAATGGGGACGGATGAAACTATTAAAGATTATATGGAAAGTTCTTCCGTCGAACTGTCCAAAAATGCGCTTCAACGTTACCAGCGCAAGGTTTGCCCGGAAGGCATTTTTGTCACAGTTAGCGTAAGACTTTAAATCATGGGGCACCAGGACTCCTAAATCTTTTTCTACTTGAGATACTACTAGAGAGGTGTTAAAAGTAAGTCCATTATTATCTGCCCAACCTTGGAGTCGTCTTGAGTGAGAGCCTTTTCAATTCCATTGCGAACCATTTGAACTACATGAAATAATTCTAATCATATAAATTATGGGCTCCAGTTTTGAGTACCACAAACCGATTATACAATGTAAGTAAAAACACAAGTATTAAAACCTTTTTCATAGCTAGGAGAATAGTCTGAAAATTCAGCTCCAGTCTTTAAAAATCGACATTATGCTTTCCTGATGAATAAAGTTAGGAGTCGCAATCGGCCTTGAAAGTTTTACTTAATATTCGAACAAATGACTTGTTTCGTTACCATATTTTGAATGAGTGTCGAACGTAGTGTCCTGAAGAAGCGTCTAGAGCGCAGACTTGACCGTTTAACTAGAAGCTGTCAACATGCAACTCAGGAGGTATTTTCTTCATCCTAAAACTCAGTTACTCTAAATTAGCTATCATTTCTTCTTAGAGATTTCACGAAGTATATTGAGCGGCATATTGATAATTCCCCGTCGGATTTTTCTACTAGTGATAGGATGTCAAATATGGTCTTAGTATCCGAAATAATAATTGAAGATCTTTTTGATCTATTGTCTAAGTATCACCATGCATCAGAGAACATCCTGAAGACGTGCACGCAAGCGCAGCAACCAGTAAGTTTTTTTCATTTTGATAGAATAAACAGCAGTTTCACATATAAGTAGAATTTTTTAGGTCCAGCATGTATAGATGAAAGTGGTCGTCAAATTCACATAGGCGGAAGTTCAATTAAATTCAAATTTTACTGATCCCATCATTGAAATAAAATTGTGTAATTTTAGGCGAAATTTGAGGACAGTTGTATTGCAAATCTTAAGGATATGTAGCCGAAATTCTATAATTCATCCGGGCGTGGGATTTTTATCGAAATAATCGGCAGACCCACGCAACATTTTCACGTACATTGCGAAAACGCTGTGAATCACTGATAGAAAATTCTAGAGTTATTACTACATTTTGATTGTCGTCCTAGAATTTGCCTACGTCTGTGATTTTTCTTTCACAATTAATTGTCCAAGGTCCAAAACTTTTGTTGAAGTGACTTGATTTTCCTGCGAAATCTCGAAATGTTGAGTGATTCTGGGATTTCTACCCACAATAGTTGCAGAATATGCCGTTAATCAACTCTCAAAATTGACCGATGATCTGAACAGAAATCCCGTTTTCTAAAAATTTCCATCTTTGTCGAAACTTAATTTTCCCATAGTTACTACAGTTAAAATTAGCCTAAGCTCATAACATACTTGTTTAGTACCACCTACCAAACTGTTTCTCACCAAACAAACTGACATCGTCCAGTTAAATGTCACGAAAATAGTCTTTCTAATCACTCTAGAATTTTCTATCAGTGATTTACAGCATCCTCGCAAGGTATGTGGAAATGTTGCGTAGTTTTGCTGATTATTTTGGTAAAAATCCCAAACCTGGGATGCATCTGTTTTACTACATCATTATTTGAACTCTTTCTGAAGTTTGGTTACGTCATTTTTATTTTTCATTAATTCATATCTTACTGATTTCACTTCAAATCTTTATTACCATTGATCGGTTTTTAATTTACTTTATTACATAATCGTCTCATGTCTGTTAAATCTACAAGTTCTAATCACTGGAATTTTCTCGCTCAAACTAGTTACATTATATATATATATATATATATATATATATATATATATATATATATATATATATATATATATATACTATTTCCAAAGTAGTAAAGCAGGGTCTATTGTGGTGAAGAGCCAGATAATATAACATTAGTCGTTTACTCCAGCACTGCCATTTTAAGCAAATCTCTTGATGCTTCTGATTTATTAAATATTCCTACTTCGTGTAAAGCATGTAATCTTGATAGATCAGCGTACAATTGCCATCTCGTTCTCGCCGCCTATTTAACCAGGTATTAGGTGTATAATTAACCTTGTTTTCGTGTTTGTGATAGTTTAGTTGGTTCTACTTAACTAAACTAACGATAGACATATTTTGACACCTTTTTAACAAAATTTGTCCTGAGCTCCAGTAGATGTGCATTTTACGAATGACTTAAAATGCATTTAAGATTTCATAATTGGACCCCATATATTTTATTTTGGGTAAAAAATGCATAGAGGCTCCTAGTCCTGTTGTATGGTTTGGAATTATAATATGGTAAACATTAATCTGCTGAAGGAATCAAAATAAACGAATATAATGCGGATCAACAAATGAACTTCAGTGATAAGATTTAGCCGATTCATGAATGGTCGTAAGAGTTATTGATGTAAACACTTGAATATGCTGAAAGCATGGACACAATATAAGTAGGTCTTTTACCTAATAAAATATAAAATTCACTCATTACCTGGGTATGAGACACACTATGTGCGAACTAATGATACTAGACGGTTGCCTAAAACGAAATAAGTAGGGTGGATTTCAAACTTGGGACTCACTGGCTGGACGTCAAACACCCTAACCACTAAGCCACCGATTCACTCATCTAATAAAATAATATATTTGTGGGCAAAACGTTAACAGAAATATACAATTACCCTAATACGGCCGAGGGTGAGATGAGTCAGCTCTCCTACTCGAAATCAGTCAGCAACGTTGTAGAACTTCGTACGTACGTACATCAGTTCTAGTTGCCATACCCTCTCAAAATGCTCTCACATGGCCATGTGTATACAACCACTGCCAGGGAAGTCCTACTCACTGTCTTCTCGCTGCGAGGGTGTTGTTTACGTAATCGAGAGGACAAAAAGCGAATATCCGGCACTTTAACCGGGTTAGTGGATATGGAGGACCCACCTAGGGGAGTTGGAAAACCCTGATTCCGAACCGGTAGTGTATATGGGCTCCAGGTTCCTGAGGGAACAAATGGCGTATGAACCCATTGTTGGTCACTGGCTACCATGGGTCTGCATCTCTTGACGTTGCTCCACTGCCTTGTGGATCAGACCTTCAGGTCGAAGGCTCTAGGTGTGGCCTCCCTAAGAAAAACACATGCTCCGGTCTAGGCATCCGAGCAGTACCACAGCCCACACACAAATCAAGTGACTTGTGTAGTGAATATGTATTCGGTGCCCCATTTGTACCAATATTTATGTTCAAATAAATAGGATAGGAAATGTCAACCTCGCAGGTTACGTACTTAGCAATAACTGTTAGGCTTAGTTCCCTCCAATTACATAATTTAGTTTTTAGATTAACGACTAGGTAGTCAAGTCGAAAGCACTTTCCTTTGTCTTCATAGCTTATGTGTCCTGACACCAAGCGGTAGATAAAACCTGGGATGTCAGTCTTCGATTTTTGTACGTAAGAATTGTTAGGACGGTAGAATTTATCACAGCTTCATGTCATCATACTCCTTGTTGTTAGAAATTGGATAATCAATCTCTGAATTAAAATGATCATAATACGTTTCGCCTTTCTAATGGTAGTTTGGGTATTTCGATTTATGGACAAGATTTACTATCTTCTGAGGATATGTTTTTCAACGCTGCAAATCTAGGCTACCATCAGCCTGTTTTTAATGTTCATTTAAAGCGGTATTTAACTGAAAATTGCTTTTTCCAAGATTGATTCTTCAGATATCAGCTCACTGTGTAATTATGACCTCACCAAAGATTCTGTTGGAAAGTGCTTGGATCAACCGCTTGACGAAAAATACTCCATAGAACATTTATATAGCCGTACGCGACTCCTTTACATGCTAGAAACAAGCTTTGGATTGCAGGAAGCCGGTCTTATATCTCAAATTTCGTATCTGAAAGGGATATGTACGTAAGTAATACTTTGTGACTTAAAACTTTCAGAACTATTACTTGACTACATTCTCACAGAATTGACCATATTTCAGTAATATATATATATATATATATATATATATATATATATATTCTAAGATTTCTGTGTTGTTCTATTCACATCTTGTTGTCTAATATCATCTGACCATAATTTCTAGCTATTATATTTGTTTTGGTAATTGTCCGGATATCAATACATCCCAGTATCATGCCCTAAGTATCTGTCAATAATCTTTTAGTTTTTCATCCCACAACTGTTTAGTAACAATATACAGATTTCATGTCACATAAGTCTATGACTCAGCTGACTTAAGTATTGATTTATAATTTTCCAAATCTCTAGGATGCAAAGATCCTAGTGCCGTTGTAGAGATGAGTCGAGTATACATCATTACCAACCAGTATTTTTATTGTCAGTGTAATGAATCCATGTTCAATCTTGTGACCTCACCTCACTTTTAGCTGTAAAAATTATATCAATAATTCTGAAAGATTTTTTCTTATTTAAAAGTTCGAGTCTAGGCACGACTTGGGACTAGTTGTCAATGTGAAAGCCATATTTCACCAAAAATGTCTTGTAAGTCGTCGTAATGTGGACACCGGAATTTCAACTACTGGGTTAGAGTACATAGCCTCAACTCAAGTAATGGGAATAATATCTCCAGCTACATAGAGTAATTATGGCTCACAGTCTAATGTATACGAACCTATACTTGTTTACTAATTTACATAGTAGCAACACTGCATTTAGTTAACGAATTCAGACCCATACTCGATCCCGTTACATAGAAGTATTTACCTCGATTTCAATACTCTATATTCATTCGCAGTAATAGGTTTTTTCCGAATCTGCTTTTTTTTTAAACTAGAACAAGGGGAGAAATATCACCAGATATCACCGAAGAATATTTAAGGGAGCTAGAAGTAGAATGTACCAAATTAGCCTCAGAATTAGCTACTTTAAATCAGCTGGAGGTTATTCAAGTTCAATCAAGAAATAAATTGGTTGAAAAGCAGAACCAATTAAAACATATGAATGATGTAAGTTAATCTCCATTTTTGTAAGGCATTACTTTGCTATCTGAATAGAAGGCTGATATGATTCTACGTAAAAAAAACAGAAAAGGATGAAAAACGGGAGGCGTACGATACACAAAAAATAGATCAATAATGACAACCAAGTATTATCGACTTTGATGCTTCATTTACACTGATCAGCAGTCAGATTTAAAGAAAAGTGCTAGATGTCAATTAGTCAACAACTTAAAGTTTCAACACAATCTGTACCGTAGAATTAGATTCCTTTAACTAATAAATGTAACTAGCTTGGTGAGTTGTGTGATCCATCCTTCCTAAAACATTCTTTTTAAAACAGAATTTTCGTTGAGTGATTGGAAATATTTCCCTAACGTATAGTCAGCTACAGATATAGGGATTGCTTATTGGTTATCCATTTACGTTTTGTCATCATATTTTCAAATGTTGCCTTGAATAATCGAATAAATATATGCTTTAAACTATATCCTTATCATAAATTAACGTTACGTTGAATATACATTCTTTGTTTAGCCAGTAGACATTTAAGTTTCTGTAATTATACTGAACTCTGTGTTATAAAAAATTGTTCATGCTCTGTGGCGGTACTTCATCCCCTATCGGAAAGCAGTTACTGCATACTAATCTGTTATTTCTTGATATTTGTCTATTGTTCTCTATGTTGTGCTTATATAACATATACGCAGTTCAGACGGTAACAATACAGATGAAACTGTAACATGGTGAACAAAAAAGTCATTACAAACAGTGGAACATATACAGAAGTTATGAAGTGTTTACTGAAGTAGTTGATAATAGTGACAATTAATATACAAGGCGGAAAATTTATGATTAAGCTATTCATTTTTTAACAATTGGAGCATATTTCAAAACTTTAATCATGTCTTCTTAGTTGTATTGTTTTTTCTCACATCATATGTAACTCATAACCTAACACAATTATTTGAACTATGCTTTTCGTTCTGAATTTCAAGTATTACTGTTTTGTTATGATTGAAAGGATTGATCATGTTTAAATGATAAGAAAGGAGGTAGTGACTACGTGATCAGAGAACTTGGTTTTAAACGAGTAGGTTACAGGTTTGAACCCCACTTTGTAACCGGGTAGTATCACCAGTTGTCACATAAAACAATATGTCTCAAAACCGAGTAGCAAAAACTACTTTGTATCTTGGATAGGGTGATAATGCCTGCATTTAAATTCCAAAAAGGATTGTCTTTCTAGTGTAAATTTATTTCATACTTGGAAATCCTTTACTGATTTCCATCACCAGTTTTCACTATATTAAAACATTATTGATGTTTGTTGTATAATGATAATCCATCCCCCTCTTTATAGGTTGAAGGGATTCTTCGTCAAGAAAATTCATGGTTAAGATTTTTGACAAATATAGTTGATTTAGAACATGATTCTTGTAAACAAGCCTTAAAAGAATTGATTTCTATTTCCCAATCACTTCATACTCTCAAGGATTATAGTGTTCAGGTAAAATGCAGTTGTATTTGAAATGTCTTACTTATCGATAACTCATATTTTCAGGGGGTTTTCGTCTACTGTTTTAGTACTTTTGTAAATTGTGGCCTTTAAAACTAGAGATTCTTACGTTAATAGTATTCGGTCATAAATTTCAACGAAGCACTGCTCGTGTATCTTTGGGCCATCGAATAAACGATGCTAAAGTTAGACAGGGTACTAGGTTTTGATGGTAAATTGATTGGTGAGGTTGTGAATCTTTATCATTTGAGCTGGTTGAGACATGTATTACATATGCTCAACCATCATCAACCTCGACTGCCGATACTATCTCGTGTAAGAGTAGATTGCATGAAAGCTAGAAGCGGCCAAACTAATAGTTGTCATCAGTCCATAAAGTCTTCAACTGTTGGACTGGGCTATGTATGTAGATTCAAATTATTTGATTAGGTTCCACGCAATTATTGTAACTAATGTTTATAAACGACGAATGACATGACTCGAAATCAATCGCATTGGTACATATGCATTCACCCTTTGTCTTCACTTAGATCTTGAGTCTTAGGGTTACCTTATGCGTTTCCGTTCCTACTGATTAGTAAATATATGCTATACAATACTGTCTTAGTGGTTCAGGCTGTAGATTTTCAGTCACTTAGTCGTCTATCTGAGTTCCACTTCACCTATTTTGGTTTGAACCGGCAAGTAAAATAATCAGTAGCCCGTACACATAAAGCGTTCTGCAAAGCCAGGTACATGAGTCCGTAATTAGTAAAAAAGTGATTTCTTTTTATATCCATCTAGCTGTGCTAATGTAAAATGTGGCGTACTGAAACTAATAATGTCTCAGGCTATGACACAGAGTGACGCGAGTCTGAATCCCACAGGGCATGTGAATTTTCTTAAGATATCGGATGCGCGTTGCTGATGGGTAGCCATTAGTACAATCCTATATTCAGGGACTCCTGTTAATTGTCTCCATCCACTTAATACATCTGGTCGTCGATAGATTCTAGGCGTAGATAAAGTAAACCTAGAATCCTAATTGAATCGATCTCAAAATATATTACTTGTGGTTAACCAACAAATTAAAAGTAGTTTTGCTTTAAAACAGGTACCATATGAAGGATAATTTAGAATTGGTATGCAATGGACTGCTGTTCAGTCTTAGTATGGAGCTTCTCAGTAGTTCATAATTAGCGACCCTGTATGGAGAAGAGCCTAAGATGGTTAACTATTTGAGTAAATAAATTTTATTTAGCCACTTAGTCATACTGCAATAGTCTACAATACAAAATTCATTCATATTACGACATGGGATTTAGATGACGCAACTACTATCGTTTCTCATGGATCAAAGTTCAGTGAAGGTAAAAGTTACCAAAGAACGAAGGGAGCTGGGGTTAAAACCATCATGCCAAACTGTTCCCGTTTTCTAGACACAACTTCATTCTCATTTGATTTATTTCGTTCTTTATGACCAAGTAGTATCTACACGAAAAATTTTCAATCTCATGCTGTCTACTAAAAGCATATTTTTATTCACTAAATATTTAGCTTCTTGAGAAATCAGCAAGCTTATATCAATCAGACGATCTGATAGAATGTGATGAATCAGTTAGGAATGATGTCTCAAAACATTTCGAAGATGCTGTTATTCATTTGCTACTAAGTAAGTTGATTTTACCTACAATTATCCTTAATATTTTTACATGATTTGTTTTGATTTTATCTAATATTAAGTAGATGTATGGATTGCTCACATTGTGTTCCAGTAACCGGTTCAAGTTAGAAAACGTCTTAGAGAAACAAATGTCCTACTGATTATTTTATCAGTAGCATATTTATAAATGGCAACATTTATCAGGCTAATTCTTAGCGATTGTTTTAAGCTAACTTTTCATTACTTGTTTTAATCAGTTGATTAAATTATGAAATATAAAATATGTAGTAAGATTAAAATGATGCGTATTGATTTTATTGGTTGGTGTAGCTTTCATGAAAGTTGTCTTGATGTTACTTACAATATGAAATGAAAAATTGTGGTTTCCAAAACTCATCTCAGTGTGATTTAAAAATTATATCTCATTTATTATATCATTTCCATTAAAAATCTTGGATTCCTTCCACCATGTACTTACTTTCACAATGTTAATTAAGCATATGACCAAAGCAAGTCACCTAAAAATTGTTTTTGTTGAAGTAACTCCTGTCAAGTTTATCACTTTTAGACAGTCATTGATTTTGTCTTTTTCCCTAAATATTTATACTTTTATGTCCCAAACTCCAGATTTATCTTAATTTATTGGACTGTTGTCTGTGTACAAACAAACGTAGTAAGCCTTCAAAGTAAATTATCACTAATATTTACTTATTATAGTAAATTATTATAATTCTTATTCTTATTAATTTTTATTAAGAGATAGGATAATAATAAAACATTTCAAATCAGGTAACTTAACCAATAGTTATTTTACACATGATAGACATCAGAATTCCATTTCATGTTAATATCCGTTAGAAATGTTTATCTCAGGACAATTTTAAGCTGTTTCTAATGTGTTTATCACATGGTTATTAATTAGCACGTTTAGAATTATTGATTGTTGTAAAATTTTAATCTTAAGGCTGATTATAATAAGAGCTAACTACAAATATTACTAATTTAATATATTGATAGATAACCATCGCGTGGTGTAATTAGCCTGTCAAAATTATTTTGTGATTGCAAATACGTATTTGAACACGCGTCATTTATGGAAACATGCCGACTAGTTAGCAGTTATTCAATGTCTAATTAGGTTTGTTCCTTAAATTTCTTTTCACTAATTATCTTTACACATTGAATCTTAACGCATAAGTTGAATATTGTCTTAATAAACGACATAAATCGATTATGATTATCATCCCGGAGACTTGCGCATTCCACATTATTGAGTGGAAAAAGAGGAGAGGCTGTCGTTCTTTTAACATGCTGTTTTGGTATAAAGTATGGCTATTGTGGAGTGGCATCTGTTTGTTTCCATGACTTCTTAGCTGGGGTTCTGAAGGTCGTGCCACTTAGTGCCCTAGAATGGGTCATGATAAAATTCGGTATAGATCCTTCTGAAATTTCTTACCACATACGTTTTAAAGCGAGATGGTCTCTCTTAGCTGAAAGAAGTCCTTCTTGACTGTATCTTAAACTGCACTGTATCTTTTAGTAAGTATTATTGTTCGCCATTTATCTATAGATTACACGGTCCTTCCCTCTTTTACTTCATGATATTATTACTTAATTTGTATGGCACATTTTTTATCACTATTGCACCGGAATTTCCGTAACGCAAATAAGTAAAAACCTCTTGTAATTGGGGAACCCTACTCTTTCCTATTTTAAATTGCACTAGTACTCTACTTTGTTTTACTAGACTGGGAACAATGCTAGTGCCAAGTAAACATGTTTAATCACAATATGCAGAGATAAATGATATTAAAGCAAACTGATAGATAATTCAAGTTTGCTATCTTCAGGATCTCTTACGCCTCATAATGTTACCTTAACTTAAAAATCAATTAATCGACATGTTCATACATATTAGCTCGTTAAATTGTAGTGCAACAAACGTATATGTCGGTGAACCTTATAGGTAAGGATGTCCACTATCTTGGATATGTTTTACATCTCCGAAGTTTACGTTTTTTATATAGTAACACATGTGTGTTGATTTCCATTCAAATATTTCAAACTCATAGTAATAAAATCTACAAATAAATTCTAAGACACGCTTGAATATGAGTTACAATGGTAAGTACAAATACTTTCTCAATCAGTTTACTGGTTGGTGTCACTTAGATATCTATCTACTCTTTATTACTGATGTCCGACTTACACATAATTCGGGTTCTTATCAGTTAAATATACGGAATCAGAATTAATTAAAAGGTTTTCAAAATGAAATATCATCTAATTACACTAGTACTAGTAAGCTTTGCATGTGAGATTCTTTTTCTTTGCTTGTTTTTTAAAAATTGAAAACTGTCATAGAAATATGGGATTGATAACCTATAAAAGAAATAAGACCTATCGTGAATATATATCTATCTATCCAAGGTGCACAGCCGTAAGAAATCAGTGACAGAAACGTAATGAGTGAAAATAATTTCAACAATAGTTAAAATTTGACAGGACGACAAAGTCATCAAAAACATTTGAGAGTCGGAAATCAAAAGTTTAACATATTTCAGTATATATAACTTGATGAATATTGAAAGCGAATAAATTAGCACAGTCAAAAACGAATCCTGGTTTTATCATTCTTGAGTAATTAATTCAGTTGTCTCAGTCAGAAAAATTAGATCTAATTCAGATCACCCGTTTATAAGACTATTCTTTTATTACTACTCTATAGTAAAATAAAAGTTTTCGTGTGTTTTTTACTGAAGTCTTGTAAATTTTCTTTTACTTTCCCACTTCTATTTCTAGCCTCTCCATTGCCACCTGAGCTTTCCGAAAAGCTTAAAACAACCGAAAATCGTTCAGAAACCATCCTTGATATTCTACGTTCTCTAAAAGCTAGGTTGGTATCATCCCAAGATTCCATTAAGATTGAATCAGAGAAACTGGATAAATATATACAGCAAATGTATGTCTTTGTGTGTAGTTATATTTCTGAAATATTTAAATTTGTTAACTTAGCTGAAGTCCATAACAATTATTAGTATAGTAATAATTTTCAAAACATATAAGACAGAATATTTATGCCTGAATGTTAAGCCTTTTTGGAACTTATTCTAATTTAAATATATTGATATTAGGATGTACTTGTTACTAAAATTAAACTTTATGAGATGGTGGAGATTTATAGCTCAGCTGGATGATTTTGGTGGAGTTTTGTTCTCTGAGCTGGATGGTTTGGACCAAAATTAAACTTTATACTTTAGCTATTAGTAGGTTATTGTTGATGAAAATCCAGTCAAATTGAATAGCTTTATGTTTTTCAGTATTGAGTATTAATTCGATTATATAGACTAGTTAAGAAAATAATTGAAATATATTTGGGTTTAGTTAAAAAGTTACATCTTACCATTTTTAACTACAACAGAATTACTATTGATATCTATTTAATCTCATTGGGTTGCATATTCTGTAGGACATCATACTTGTGATAAATCAATAAATTATAATTCAATAAAACAATCTACCACTTGAAGGTGCTATTTTCATTTATTAATAAATTCTTTACTTTTTTCCACTTAGTTCAAGCACATCTATATAATACTCGATATGATAATCACTAAGGCAGTATTCGTAAACATGCCTATTATTATTATTATTATTATTATTATTATTATTATTATTATTATTATTATCAGCTTTATTCAATATTATATTTTTGGTACAACATAGAATTCTCAGCGTAAAGTATTTCAACAAGTTTCCGTTTCTTTCTTCTTCGTCGGTCCTGGCGATAAATATTGAGTGATCGCCAGTTAGATGTTAGCAGTTCACTAAATGAACATCTGAATAATGAGCATTCTTTCCGTTGTATATTGCCAGCAACCACATTGTCTCTTATTGAGTTTTTTGTAACTTTGACAACGAAAAGTTGTACACTTTTCAGAAACGCAGCAGAATAGGTTGTGCGATTAATAAACATAATGATATATTAAAACAAACAAAAATAGATAACTTGTTGAAATATCTAGATGGCAGGAACAGGTAGCCCAGATGATCAAGCAGGCCGCCTAAACTACTAATGTGCATTCGTTTATTAGTGGCCACATTTCAGGAGTTTAAACTACAATATACGCACTAGCATTTGAATGACTGATTATATTATTAGTCTTTACATAATAGTTGTGGTTTGTAAACGAATAATCAAATCTATTTGTTTTAAACAAACTACACCCCTTACTTGTTCTCGTAAAGAAAAGTGTGTGGTCGTGTAAATAATCATACTTGTGTGGTCACTTGACTTTGTTTACATTTTTTTGATATTACTGATAGGTACAGATTTTGGTTCATTTATTAGGTGTAAAACCTTTTGTAATCAACTATGCTGATTCACGCATGTATTGGTTGTTTGAATCTTTCCATTATTGTTTAGGACTGCAGTCAATCAGTCTCGTTTTGACACATGTGCATCCTGTGCGGATTGCTTGGTTATTGCCATTAAGTTAGAGGCAGAGATGTGTCAGTCAGTCAGTCAGTCAGCTACAACGTAGGACCAGGCACATATGTGCATCGGTCCAGGTTGCCATACCTCATTAGCACAGCAAGATGAACACCGGATTCATAGGAGTGGTTAGGTCAAAGGTTGCAATAAGGATATAGTATAGGAAGAAAGAATTAGTTCGTAGACAGAAAGAATGAAGTGATTTTAGTCTCTTAGTTTAAGGGAAGACAGGGAGTGTATACACCGACGCCACTGTGATCGATTCTGAGCCATGTCACCAAGAGTCTCCAACCATTGGTTACGAAAGTCACGCGGACCCCAACCAAGTAGTCTGCATCTACCAACGTGGCTCAGACTAGAAGTTAGTGACTTCAGGCACTGATGCCACGTTTTGGTTTGGCCGCCCCTAACTTTCTTCCAACCATCCCCTACCCCGGTTAGCATTGCACGTCGTGGTAATCGGTGTTCAGGCATACGTAATACGTGGCCCAACCATCTCAGTCGATGAGGATTCATAACCTCATCAACTGATTTACCATCATTCCCTAATACCCTGCGTCTAACCTCACTATTACTTACCCGGTGATCCCAACAGATGCCAGCAATATTTCTAAGGCATCTGTGGTCAAATACTAGTAGCTTACGGGTGTCTTCTACTCTTAAGGGCCATGTTTCGCTGCCGTAAATTAAAACAGAACGAACTGCCGCGCAGTATACTCGTCCTTTTATTGATAGACGGATATCTCGCCTTCGCCAAAGGTGACGCAAGTTGGCAAAAGCCAAACGAGCTTTTCGAATCCGTGCTGAGATTTCGTCCGATACCAACCCATTAGGGCTGATCAGACTTCCAAGATAAGTGAAGTTATCAACGCGTTCGACTACTTCACTCCCTATCCTTAGTTCAGGTGTTGACGCAGACCAGTCCTGAAGCAACAACTTGCATTTAGAGGGAGAGAAGCGCATCCCAAACATTCTGGCATTGTTGCTTAGTGCTACCAGAAGACTCTGCATTTTCTCAGCGTCTTCACCAAACAGGACTATGTCATCTGCGTATTCTAAGTCGATAAGTGGACCTCCTGGAAGGAGATCAATACCCGAGAATTCAGTCGACGAGAGTGTTATTTCCATCAATAGGTCTATGATGAAGTTAAACAAAAATGGAGAAAATGGACAGCCTTGACGGACACCACTTGAGGTTGCAAAAGTAGATGACAGTTCGCCATAAGCCCTGACTCGACTAGTAGTGTTCGAGTAAAGAGCCTTCACAAGGTTTATGTACTTCTGAGGTACGCCTTTCAATGACAGACACTGCCACAGAGTCTCGCGGTCTACCGAGTCAAATGCTGCTTTTAAGTCAAGAAAGACCACCATCGTCGGACGCCGATAGGTATGCCTGTGTTCTAGAACCTGACGAATGGTGAATATGTGGTCGATGCAGCCACGACCAGGTCTAAAGCCAGCTTGGTTCTCTCAAGTTTGTAGTTCACGAGTCTTAGTTAGGCGTTTGATAATTATCGAGGCCAGTATTTTAGAAACTATGTTTGTTAAACTAATCCCTCTGTGGTTGTCACAGGATGATTTTGACCCTTTCTTATATATTGGGACGATAAGTGATTGCGACCAGTCAGATGGGATAAAGTCTAATTCCCAGATCTTAGCTAAAATATTAGTCAACTTAATCGCTAAAATTGGACCACCATCCTTAAAGACCTCTGGAGCCAATCCATCTGGACCAGCTGCCCTTCCTCGTTTCAGATTAACTATAGCCTTTTGAACTTCAGCAAGAGTAGGGGGACCTATTTCAATGTTCCATTCACACTGTCTGGGAATGGAGGGTAGTTGTAGAGTAGCTGAAGGCCAGCTGAACTGTTCTCTAAAATGTTCCGCCCATCGTTCTAAACGTCTGGACTGGGAGCAGATGAGAGTATCATCTTTTTCCGAAATAATCTCACTTACACTTGACTTACTAATTCCAGTTTCTTTTATTAGTCTGTAAAGCTGTCTTGTGTTCCCTATAGTCGCCGCCTTTTCCATCTCTTTTGCTTTCGTTACCCACCACTGCTCACGGTCGTTCTTTAGACTTTTTCTTAACCTAGATCTGATTTGTTTTCGCTCTTCATCATGTTCAGGACCTGATGGGACGAGTTTGCGAGAATCCATCAGTGTGACAGACCTTGAAGAAATCCACTGGTTCCTTGCAACTCTGTGGTTTAAGTCACTAATAGATGTCACTGCTGTTTCCACAGCTGATTGTATGCCCTTCCAAGCAACATCTGGGTCAGCCTCGTCTTCACAACTACCCAAGTGTGACCTCAGTTGTTCCTGGAACCTACTTTTGGTTTTCTCGTTACTCAAATCAGTTCTAACGGGTCTTTTTAATGTGGCTTTTTTGCGTCCAGTGAGGCGCAAGCAGATGCGTGCCCGTATTAGGGCATGGTCGGAGTCCAAGCAGGTACTCCAGAATGAGCGACAATCTTCTACCGACCCTCTCCAACGATGACTGATGGCAATATGGTCTATTTGAGTCCATCGTTGGTTTGGTGTAGGGGGTCGCCATGTTAGACGATGTCTTTCCTTATGCTTAAAATTTGTGTTTGCTAAAAATAAACGATTGTCTGAGCATAGTTGCAGCAGACGATCACCATTATCTGTTCGCTGTGTCGGAATACTAAAATATCCACCTAAATGCCTTTCTGTTTGGTTTAAGCTGCCTATCTGAGCATTAAAATCACCTGCTACGAGTACTATGTCTGAGCGTTTAGCTTTCTGAAGAAGTTCGGACAGCTTTCTGTAAAATTCATCTTTCACATCATCTGAGCTGCAGTCAGTGGGAGCGTAGGCAGAAACGACAAAAAGGCAACGACGTGTGTCCCTATCCTTCCGAGTTCTTACGTAGCCGTTCAGCCGAACAGCACATAAACGACTGTTGACGGGGATCCACTCTAGCAGTGCTTGTTCGGCCCTCATGCTTAGTGCTATGCCTACACCTGCCAGTCCACGAGAACTTGCCATCGGGTCACCAGATACACGAAGGGTGTACCTCGTTGGCTCTCCGTTTTGCCGAGGTGAGGTCAAGTGAATGACCACACTGGAATCCTGTATGCGTGTTTCGGAGACACAGCACACGTCAATGGTAAGAGACTCTAGGGTTTTAGCCAAGGAAGCCTGCTGACCGATTTGACATAGGGTTCGTACGTTGAAGGCTCCAATGTGTAGTTTGGAGCGAGGTTTCAGTAGACCTGGGACAGTATTTTGCGCACTAGAATCGTTGGCTATGGTGACACTTGAGAAGGAGGTTTAGTGTTGAAAGTCGATATGGGAGGAATATTAAGAATTGAAGAGGGAAGTTGATTATGAATACAGTGGTCTTGAGTGCTGTTAAAGGTATGAGGGCGGTTATCACTTCCCGGTTGCCCACACCGTATAAGGGTTCTTCTGGAGGTACGTGAAAAGGAAATTGGATTAAAGGTGGTCCTAGTGACTTGAGAGCGTGACCATATTGCCCAAGAGACAACTGCTTGAGGCCGGTCAAACACGACCTTGTTATGGGTAATTTTTGTGTTAGCTCCGTACTTATTGGGACCTTACCGCCGGAGACGGATATCCGTGGGATAAGGCGAGGTGTGCATTTTTAGGGTCGACCTTTTCTAACCCCACCCCTCCTTGTGGGAAGGCAGCATCGCTGTCATGCTGGTTGTCTGAAGGAAACACCTTACTGCTGTCACACCTCTATACAGTCAGCAGTACGATTTCGGACCTTAGGTTTGTTGCTTTTAGTCTTACCGCTCTTCAACCGACCTGTCTGACATGGTAGGACCTTGAGGAACGGTTGTTCCAGCCAGTATAGCTCGGTTGCTTCATCACGATAGGCAAGCCCGACCACCACGTCAAGGTAGCAACAACGGTCGGGTAGCAACAACGGTCGGGGCAGAGATGTGTAGTGGCTGACAAATCCAAAATAAGACGGAACGTTCGTTTTATGTTCTGCTACTACCTACCATCCATCTTTGCTTGAAACTATAGTGATTTTTCCTATTATTTTCTTTATAAATTCCTCCTTTTCATATTCTTCCTATGTTCTTGTCTTTAACTTAACATTCCACTAGATAATGCTCGATTCGAAATTTCTTTATCTTATTGGTAATTAGATCCTGTCAGTTAGTTATACAAAAATTTATATACACTATTGTGCTAGTTAGGCAACCAAACAGTATTTTCTATTTTTGTCGGTTTGCTTTTATTATTATTGTTGTTTTTAGTATATTCGTGTATTTGCCATTAGCTGTAATCCAAGCATACTCAGGTAATTTAATAAAATATCTCATTTGTCTTTTCACATTATTTGTCCTCTTTATTTTCTAGTGTATAAATGTACATCTATCAAACAGACTTATTTCAACTGGTCAATAAATAAAACTACATATTGTGTTATAATATCATTATAACTTTTTTTGATAGATTTGTCATAATATTCTGAAAATTAAAAGGAAGTATTATATCTTGGGCGTTTTCCTTAGCTATACGCCCTACTTAACTTTGAAGTGACTGTACCTGTTTTTGTCTAGTTGTATTGTGGAGTAGTAGTCACGACATTCTATTACTAAATGACGGATTTGAATTTTATCCTACTTTTTAAAACATGATTGCCTAGGTCCGTATCACTAATCGTCCGACAAACGTAATCCACAGTGTATGACATCTAACCGCACCCACTTCTAACAGTTGCTTTCAAAACTGTTTTATCTCTCAAGGTGACACTCACTGTCTTAGTATGTGTTTAGAATTGGTCAAGTTTAATACTCTGACAAAATAGAATATGTTTATATTCACATACTACCTACTGGTTATTGCAACCCGCTTTTTCTAGTTACTCAAAGACACTTAAATTTTATTCATTTATTTGTTTTAACACATTGATATTGGTACAAGGAGGCACCAAATACATATGCGCCACACAGATCTCATTTGATATGTGTGAGGGCTGCGATACTACCCGGGTGCCCAAACCGAAGCAGGTGGTTTTCTTAGGGAGCCACACCCGGAGCCTTCGACCTGAAGGTCTGATCCACAAGACAGTGAAGCATCGTGAGGAGATGCAGTCCCATGGTAGCCGGTGACCAACGATTGGTTCATACGCAATTTGTTCCTTCAGGATACTGGAGCCCATGTGCACTATTGGTTTGGAATCAGGATTTTCCAACTCCTCTAGGTAGACTCTCCATATCCACCAACCCGGTTAAAGTGTCGGACATTCGTTTTTCGTCCTCTCAATTTGGTAAACAACACCTCTGCCACGAGAAGGTAGTGAGTATGACTTCCCTGGCAGAAGCTATATACGCGTGGCCATGTGAAAGCATTTGGAGAGGGAGAGCGGACTCCCCACTCTCGGCCGTACCAGGGCATTTGGGGGCTATATTACAAAATGATGTGATTATTTGTTTATTGTTTTGGAAAATATTCATTCACGGGTCTTCTATGTGAAAATTGTAAAGAAATGTTTATCTCATTATTAAAACAGATTATTATATTAAGGAGGAAGAGTGTATTTGTAAAATCTCAGCGAATGAATTAGAAGTAAACCCAACGTTTCGCTCGGCAATCTGATCTAAGCTTCCTCAAGGATATATATGTCATACATCAACTCGGCCCTCAAATACTGTGAAACCATCCGTTCAATTTAAACTAAAGTTCTTACAGATTATTATTATTAGTCCATAAAATAATAGAAAGAGATTACATCATGAAGTGATGCGAGATTTTAAACATCAAAAGAAGCTTGAGTAAGAATCGAAATGTTATACAAAAGAGAATATATAAATGAAAATAATATGCGGATCAGAAATAGAAAAGATAAAATGTAAATTAAATGTTTTCGTCAAAAGGAACATTTTCTCCATTGATTCCTTCTCATTTCTATTCTAATCATTATTACAAAATAGATTATATTCATTTATTTTTTTACAAAAAGGAGACCAATATCCATTTGGCTATCATTTAACTATTTTAAAGTAATCACATTATGATAATTACTTACTATTTATTATACTTTTGACCTTCAATCTTTTCTATATTGTTTTTAAAAGTACTAACAACTAATATATAAACATACCATACAAATAAAAAAAAGTTATATTCTATTCTTAATTAGTTCACATGGTTATTATTACAAATGTACATAGATTTGCCGTGGAATCACTTGGTTTCATTGTAATCTTTATTTTTATGATCTAAACATAGTAAAGACTATGTATCTATTTGTTTATAAATATGATTGGTCAGTTAATGAGTCGATAAATGATACAGTATATTTAATAGTTAAGATTATGAGTCAATTGAAGCTAAACCACCATGGAAAATCTGGAGACACTGGACGGCCGTTTCGTCCCATTGTGGAACATTCACAATCCTGCCTCGGTTCAGTGGTCTAGTGGTTAAGCGCTCACACGCGAGATTGATAAGTCCTGGGTTGGAATCTCGCGACCATTAAACTTTCTATAATATCCGCAAAAAACCCTTCTGATACAGTGTTTATTAAAAAAGAATGAAGGTATATGTTTCAGCAAAGAAAATATTTTCTGCTAAATGGTTCCTTTGAAGCTGTTCAATAATTTTCTATTACTTTAATAAATAATACTACACTACTTCATTTTCATAGATTTCTAGATCCTATGCTTGAATAATTTTGACTGTGTGTTTTTCTTCACTTAACTTGTCTTTTTAAAGTTTGACTGTATTTGGTAATTTTATAACATTAATCTATTGTACAGATTAAGAAAAAGATACCGTCTAAAAGAAAACCTTCTTTACTGAAATGTCTCCATTCTTTCTGATGGATCAATAGGTTTATTTTATTTTTGTGTGATTTAGTATTTATTAAAACTTTATTTCCGGTTTTACGATAATTATACTACTATGCGACAGTTTAAGATTTTATAAGGTTTATCAATCGAGCATAAGCGAAACCGATTGCTATTCAATTACAGTTGTGTACTACTTAAACAGAAATGAGGAAATATATGAGATGACAAAACAACATAAGATCTGTAATCCTGTGTTCATTGTTAGTGTTATTACATGTAATCCCTCTTCCTTCATATCCTTAGAATGTCATTTTTATTTTTTGCAATGTATAGTCGTTGCCTATATTTATTATCTAATATTTCATCCTTGTTATCTTCATGTTTATTTTAGTCGTAAACAATTACTTGGTTTGAAAGAAACATTCGACCTTCCGGATTCACTTATTTCATGCGATACACCTTCTCATCTTGAACAACTGAATCCCGATCGTATTCGTTTTTCTTGGAGAGGTCTTTGTTCTACAGAACTTACAGATTTATTTGTTAATACTTGTAAAGATATAAATGGTTTAGTTGAACAATTGGATCGCCTGGAACTCGAAGCAGATATTACTTTTCCTCATATATAGTTGTCTTATGTATAGATTTACTTGTGTACGAAATAAAACAAGCTTTTTCATCCCAGTTTATTTCGATCACTTCATGCAAAGAAACTGTAAGCAACTTTATCAACTAACTAGATAGGTGTTTTGATACACGCAGATTATTTCGGAACGATTAAAACTACTTTTTTGTAATGTGGTCAGAGTTCTCATTGTGAACCTTTGTATTGTGACTAAGTGGTACTATGCTGACCTGAAATTACTAGGTTCAATCCCTTGAGTTGGTATTCCAAACTTCCGGTAAGGTTCAATATACTCGACGATTCTGAACATTTCTTCAGTTGATTGTAGATCATTATGAAAACCTTGGACGGAGGGCAAAAGATTGAGTAGCTTTTAAGCCCACAATGCCTCCGAATGTCCTCGTATGGCCAAGAGTGGGGAGGGCCACCTTTCCTCTCGAAATGCTCTCATACGGCCACGCGTATACAGCCTCTGCCAGGGAAGTCCTACTCACTACGAGGGTGTTGTTTACGAAATTGAGAGGACGAAAAACGAATGTCCGACACTTTAACCGGGTTGGTGGATATGGAGAGTCTACCTAGAGGAGTTGGAAAATCCTGATTCCAAACCAATAGTGCACATGGGCTCCAGTATCCTGAAGGAACAAATTGCGTATGAACCAATCGTTGGTCACCGGCTACCATGGGACTGCATCTCCTCACGATGCTTCACTGTCTTGTGGATCAGACCTTCAGGTCGAAGGCTCCGGGTGTGGTCCCCTAAGAAAACCACCTGCTTCGGTTTGGGCACCCGGGCAGTACCACAGCCCACACAGATAGAATCAAACGACGACATTTACTGAAAATAGTATTCTCTCCTCGACTAAAAGTCAAACAATTCACGTTATATTATTTATTTGTTACGTCACTTATTCGCTCTCTTTTATTCCCACTTTCTGTGTGTAGCACATATACATCTGGTGCCCCCTTGTACCGATATGTGTTTAAATAAAATAAAATATAAAAAAGTCTACAATCCAACAGATAGTGGTTGTATCTTTACACTGTATAGTATGAGAGATTTTGTAGACAGCCATTTAATTGGGATCACCAACTGAGCTAAGTTAACAACCCTTGAAAGTTTTCTCGTTTAAATATGGGATTTCTCAATTGTGTCCCTCCACAACTTTGTGTCTGGGAGTCAAACCCCATTACCTTTGGTCTCCCATGTGAACGCTTAACCTTTAGACCATTGAGTTGTGTCTAACTTCAACCAATCCATGATATTGCGGGGCTACGCTTGAACTTCATTGGTCAAAAATTCTCACTTTAACTCCGTAGATTTCCTGTTCAAGTTAGTAACTAGTAAGCTTATGATAATTATCAGTATGGGGTTGGGGAGATTATTGGATTTCATTGAGATTACTAGCTGGTCTGATATAAGTATTGCAAGCCTAAAAGTATCTTAGTATTTGTCGTGTTTTTTTATGAAGTAGAACAACAGCTCTTTAATTTTACCCAAATATTTACATATATTTAAGTTGTCGGAGAAAAATTTTGTGAAGGAGCAAATGCATTTTAATCATACAATATTTATATATTGTACTTAATCAGTTATCGACTTTTCAGTGATGAACGCCACTAAGTTAAAGTAGATTCGAAATCCAACGTCTGATCATTGTAAATCGAAGTTACAAGATTCTGATTATTTTGAGTTTAATGTAGTTGGTCTGTTTTTAGTGCTATTTTTTCCTTACGTTGAACATAAATTTTCGAGTTTTTCAAGCGTGGAAAAATTATACTGTGGTCACAAACAAGGGAAACTCAGTCGTGGGTACAATTGTGTCCAAGTGACAAAATGGTTCCCTTAATTAGTAATCGAAACACCCAGATTACTTTGCATGTTCTTATTAACAATACATGGAAAGTAAACAAGTAAAAAGCGTTTTGTTCTCACAAATCAGATCTGCTTTTAAAGTTAATACATGATGCTTTTTGTTTCTAAGTGTTCAGATAAATTTTTACTTTGCATATAAAGTAAAATTAATCATATTTCCAGTCAGTCAGTCAGTCAGTTACAACGTAGGACCAGGCCCATACATGCATCGGTCCAAGATGCCACACCTCATGAGCACAGCAAGATGAGTATTTCCACTCACGACCATTAATTCCTGTCGTTCTGTACTGTGATGTTATGTTTGTTATTGGTTTTCATCAGACAGCGTTTTGGTGTCAGTCTTAAATCATAGTTTATTAACTTTGATGTCAAAAGTTTGAGGAAAAGTGAAGCTCAGTAAATATTAATAGAAAGCCAATTAGTCTAACCACTAAATAGTTCTGACTAACCATCTTAACTAACTATTGATGTAATTAAATTCAAGTTTATTAATCAGTTGTACAATCTATATTCATTTTTACACTGAGAACCATGTTTATGAAATCTTTGTTTTATTTATACGAAACAATGTAAAAGAAATATCGGTGTTTATTGTATTTAGTCATCCAAATTTGTTCATTAA